TTTCACTTATCTTGGAAAGGTCTGAGTGTCCCTGAGACTATAGAGCTTGTTTACTTGTGTTTCTTGGTCAGTTCTCTACTCAGTCATTTAAATACCTCTAAGAACAGTAACTGCTCCCCACTTCCACCATCCCCACCACCCCTACCCTGTAGGATTGATTAGCTTATTGTGAAATACAACAATTACTAAATCCTCGGCATGGGCCCACCCCTTATTGTTGCTGCTGATGGTGACACATAAAGGTGAGCTCTTCAGAAGAGATCTCCATTTGTTATCCTTTCTCTTTTCAATTTACTAGAAGGCTTGTAAAATCTTATTCGTTTTCTTTTTTATTCCTTTAGGAGCATAGTGAGAAGAAGCAGCGGGTCAGGTTCCAGCTTGAGATTTCTAGCAATCCTGAGGAACAGCGCAGCAGCATATTACATTTGCAGGAGGCTGTGCGGCAGCATGTGGCCCAGATACGGCAGCTGGAAAAGCAGATGTATTCTATCATGAAGGTAGTCACCTGGGCAGTCTGAGGAGAGGGACGTCTCCTAGGTCAAGGGAAATCTCTCAGTTTCTCCTATTCTGGCTCCCTAGTCTTTGCAGGATGACAGCAAAAATGAGAACCTTCTTGACCTGAACCAAAAGCTTCAGTTGCAGCTAAACCAAGAGAAGGCCAATCTAACGCTGGAAAGTGAAGAGCTTAATATCCTCATCAGGTGAAACAGCATTCTTTTTCTACCCTTTTTCAGTTCCCCAGATGCAGTCAATTTCTCTTCTCTGCCCACATTCTGATAGTTACTAGGCCTAGTGCATGATCAAAGGTTGATGTAGTAGATTCAGGTACCTCTTCCTGAATGAGCCTTACTGAACATAGCCAAGAAGTTGAGAACAAGAGAGCCTTTCCTTTGGATCATCAATAGAATACCTCCTGGGAAAGGAGAAAGATGGGTAGTTGGGAAAGATCACTTTTGTTGTCTTAATATTGTGTAGCTGAACTGAAAATAAAATATCTTGAGCTGATCAGTAAGGAACACAATTGTAGATATAATCATAGGGGTTATTAGTTCAAAGAAATTACTTCAGAGAAATTATTAAGAAGCTTTAGTACTGAAAGATGGGATTTGTAATCCCATAGCAGAGTATGAGAAGCAATGACTCCAGTGACGGAAATTGAGAATAGCTGTTCCAGAAAAGGTCCATCTCTGGGTTTATCTCCTGCATCATTCTAGAGCATTTCACTCCACCCTAAACCAAGTGCTGTTACCGCTATTGTCTCTGATCTTTCTGTCCATTTATAGGTGTTTTAAGGATTTCCAGTTGCAGCAAGCCAACAAGATGGAGCTGCGAAAGCAGCAGGAAGATGTGAGCGTGGTCCGTCGCACTGAGTTCTACTTTGCTCAGGCACGATGGCGCCTAACAGAGGAAGATGGACAGCTTGGAATTGCTGAATTGGAGCTACAGCGGTTCCTTTATAGCAAGGTATTGGATATACACAGTCACACAAAGGCAGCTGTATTGAGAGGCACTGACCTGTCTCATGAGTGTAACTCACAAAAAGAAACAAAATGGAGCTAGTTATTATTTAACTATTGATGATGGTATTAAAGTTTATTAGTGATACATGAGCAGCATTCCCCTTAGATACATGTTTGTAATATTAAATATTGCAGATAAAGATGAAGGTGATCAAATGCTTTTTTGAATAATCTTATCCCTAGAAATGTGGCCCTGCTTGGAATAGAACCTTAATTATACTATACTGGCATAAACTCTCTTGCAATTATCCATGACATGAAGGAGAGGACATTGTTCATTTCTCCTTACTCCCCCTTCCCCCCTCCAGGGTGTTTGGTAATGAATGAGACCATTTTTGAATGTCACAGCAATTTGGAAGTACTGGCATTTAGTGCCCTGGCTGGTAGCACCCATGAAAAATATGGGATTAGAGGGTACATTGACTATATGAGGTGAAAGAGATATCAAAGTTTGGGGTTAGGCATATGGAGAACCTAAAAACAAATTGGATATATAGTAATTCTCTAGCAAGCGCCTGAGAAAGGCTTATAATGGATTGGGGGTTGGTGGGGGGTGGCGATCTGTCTTTATAGGTGAATAAGTCTGATGACACAGCAGAACATCTTCTGGAGTTGGGCTGGTTCACTATGAACAACCTCCTCCCCAATGCTGTCTATAAGGCAAGTCTTATTTCCCCATTCCTGGTCCATTCACATACTTTCTAGTCCAGGCCATTTGTGATGGTCCTTCCCTATAACCCCACAGTGGGAAACAGTGTGGTGATTGGAGATGGTGAAAGCTTGCCCATCTTAGCAAGACCAATGCTTCTCCTCTTAGTCTATAGAGAATTTGGGGGTTGATTTATCACCCTATCCTACAGGTAGTCCTACGGCCCCAGAGCTCCTGCCAGTCTGGGCGACAGCTAGCCCTCCGTCTCTTCAGCAAAGTCCGGCCCCCCGTTGGGGGTATCTCTGTTAAGGAGCACTTTGAGGTTAGTAAACAGTCTTTTGGGGATCCAGGAACAAAGGGCAGTCAAAGCTATCCATATGCTGTGTTACGCTGTTAGGGGTAGGTAAACTCAGGGATGATGTCTGAACTTAATTGCTTCTTCAGCCTTTTTCCTCTTTAGGTAAATGTGGTGCCTCTCACCATCCAGCTGACACACCAGTTCTTCCATAGAATAATGGGCTTTTTCTTTCCTGGCCGAAGTGTGGAAGATGATGAGGTTGGTGATGAGGAAGATAAGTCCAAACTGGTGACTACTGGTGAGAACTTCTATTGTGGAGCTCCAGAAGACTGGGGTAGCACAGCAGCCTCAGAGACAGCTGAAGCTTTAGAAAGAGTACAACAGTTGGTGTGCTTGTTTTTTCACAGGAATACCAGTGGTGAAGCCTCGACAGCTGATTGCAACAGATGATGCAGCAGCACTGGGCCCTGGGAAGGGTGTGGCACAGGGCTTGAATCGGAGTTCTGGGGTCAGAAGGTCATTTCGCAAAGCCCCTGAGGTACTGGACGTGCTCCTGATGATGAAAAAAAATGGAAGAGTCCTAGGACACTCTGTTAGGCCAAGCTGAGGATTTCCTCTGTTGCCTTTGAGTCTACTCCAAACATGAAAGAAGATGGAGATGTTTGGGGTCCTAAGTTTCAGGTGCTCATACTCCTTTCCTGCCTTTCCTAGCACCCTGTGGATGATATTGACAAGATGAAAGAGCGAGCTGCGATGAACAACTCCTTCATCTACATAAAGATTCCACAGGTTCCACTGTGTGTCAGCTACAAGGTTGGTTCCTCCCCAGCACTTTCTAGTACAGAGTGGGAAGGGAACCAGCTAAGATCATCATAGATTAAAGACAGAGATAGTCCATCTTGTGAAGTTGACCCATGGGTGATAAGTTTTCTCTGCTCCCATTATCAGACTGAGGTAAGGGGAAATCAATATTTGTAGGTTGCAGATACAGGAAGGTACTAGACTTGGACTCAAGTACTGGCTTGAACTAAAAGTGGTAGCTGACATATTTCTTTCCCTTCTTCTTTCTCTTCCCTATCCATCTGTCTCTTGCAGGGTGAGAAGAACAGTGTGGATTGGGGTGACCTTAACCTGGTGCTGCCCTGTCTGGAGTACCACAACAACACATGGACATGGCTAGACTTTGCCATGGCTGTCAAGAGGGACAGCCGGAAAGCCCTGGTTGCCCAGGTATCCCTGCAGAGTTCATGGCTGTTTGGTTAGCAGGGTCTGGCAAACATATCCTCTGCTCAGGAGCATTTCATTGTAGGATGTATTAACAAGCAGTCTTGGGATGGGGCAGGTGAATAAAGTGAGCAGCTTTTATCTCTGCTCTCTCCATGACTTCATTCAGATTAAACTAAGTGATTACTATTTTGCATAAGTTAACTACTGTCAATTTTTAGGAAACTGAGGTCTGGCACAACTTCAGGTTTAAATTTAAAATATTTAGACTTCTTGAAAGCAGAGATCATTTTAGGATTTGAATTGCTCCATTGTGCCTTTGTGTAAATTTAATAAATCATTGAATTGGTTAACTGATTTATTCTGCTTGTTCCACTAATATTTACCTTCCCTTTTACTCCTCTAACCTATCAGGTAATCAAAGAGAAGCTAAGGCTGAAGCCTGCAACAGGGTCAGAGGTCCGGGGAAAGCTAGAAACTAAATCTGACCTCAACATGCAACAGCAGGAAGAGGAGAAAGCCCGGCTCCTCATCGGTCTAAGTGTGGGCAACAAGAACCCTGGCAAGAAATCCATTTTTGGCAGGCGCAAGTGATCCAGCAATCCAAGAGTGGCTGCAGTACAGGATCTGACTCTGGCTCAGTCCCCAGAGACTTGTGGGGTGGGAGGCACTTCCCTTTATCCATCAGGATTTGTTGGGGTTAGGATCCCACAGGGTACTGCAGAGAGGGGCACTGCTCTTTAGCAGCGGGTCTGTTCTCTGCGGAGAGTGGTAGATAATAATTCTGAGTTCTACCTCACACTGATCAGCAGGCCCAGGGCCAGAGAGGCATCAAGAGCGAGACCCAGGGAATGGCCCCAGGAGGATCTGGTTCCTCTGGGGTTAGCCAAAAGGGTGAGGGACAGTTCTGATCAAGTGTGATAAATTTTTATAAATAGACATATATAAATACATATATATTTCTCTAAGTATAGCTGCTCTTTCCCCTGTGCCAGAAAGTTGGGGGCAGAAGGCTGACCTGTCCCTCATTCCACTGCCTTGTATGAAAGAGGTATTAGTGTTCGAGGGGAATGAGCCCCTCCCACAATCTGTGCCAAGCTCACTTGGGGAGATGGCAATGGGAGCCAGGGCTGGCCATGGGTCCCCCTGGGATATACCCTGGAGAATGGTAAGAAAATGATTTAAAGAGAAAAAATATATTTTAAATTTGATGCTGTTTTTTTTTTAATTGTGTTGAGTGCATGGGTTCATCTTGTCTATATCCTTCCCTCCCAATCAACCTAAGATACATACTCTAGCTGCCACTCTAAAGAGGGTAGCCTCTTCCCTCCTGTCTAAAACTATATCACAGATATTTCTCAGCTCTGGTGTGACACTAGCCCTATGGTGATAGATCTCTCTGTACATTTTAGTTCTGGCTGTAAACCTGTTCTGACCAGGGGTAATAGGATTTGGGGATAAGGGTGAGGTTTGGCTGCATCACTTGCATTCCTAGTCATGAATAGCAAGAAGCAGGGTTCATGTGTAATGCAGCATCAGGGGGAGGAATTGCTTATGTAACTGGGATAGCAGATTTAGCAAAAGGAGAGAAGAGGCAGAGGCTGAGAATGGGAACAGTGAGCTGTCGGCAGGGACAACAGGCCCCGGTGGCTGATCTTCGTGAGGTAGGCTGTGGGGCTCTGGCAGTCTGTCTAGGGGAGGTGAAGAAGACCTGGGCTTGAGGCCTGAGAAATGCTCCTGGTGAGGAGCATGTTAGTGATGCCAACTGTGGGGGTGGCAAGGCTGTACTGTGAAAGTATCCCAGCCCCATACTGGGAGGTGTAGGCTGAATCTTGGAAGCCTCATGGAGAAAATGTCCAAATATTGCCTTCCTAGAGGATTTGAATCACGTTCAGGAAATCTAGACCCAAAGCAAGAATAATGGTGGCAATTTTGCCTGGTCTCAAAAATATATTTCTAGGGTTGCTGTTAGAGGGAGTACCTGCTGATTCTGTAATGCCTCAGGCACAGGTTTAGAGTGGCCTCCCTTGGTTCTCAGCAGGGTGGCAACATCCAGGGCCCCTGGGTCCGAGGCTGGAAGAGCCTCTGGTCAGGTGTGGGGACCACCAGGTCAGGCCTGGAAGAACTGTGGGGACTATTGGGGCATCGGTGCCAGCACCAGAAGCCCCTGGAGCCAGCCCCACCACTAATTGAGAAGCCTCTGTCTGAGTGGCCAGTGCCTCAGATCATCAGCCTCTTTCTGCCGGAGTTTCCCATTAAGCCCCTTAGGGGGCATCAGCCGCTGAAGGTAGGTCAATGGAATCACTGGAAGACATCCTGGTTTTGGGGAGAAATCTATAAATGACCAGAGTCTCAACTGCTCTGTTCTCCATTTTTCTATACAGATTTTAGGTCTTGTGGCTAAAGGCTCCTTTGGAACTGTCTTCAAAGTGCTAGACTGTGGCCGGAAAGCAGTATTTGCAGTGAAGGTAGGGACCTAGGTACTCTTCCACATTATTCTCTAGTCCCTGCCTCCAGTTTTGATTCTGGAAAGGTTGCGAGGAATAAACAATTCAGTAGCATTATTCCCTTCTGGGAGTTATCATCCCTGTCCTGTTACAGGTGGTGCCCAAGGTCAAGGTCCTCCAGAGGGACATCCTGAGGCAGTGCAAAGAGGAGGTTAGCATCCAGGTATGCACAGAGCCCTGGAAAGGATCCTAGGAAGAACTATAAACTATAGGTGGAGAAAGTACCTTTCTTGTTCAATTGTCCTGCTTTTCCTGGTTCTGCCCATCCCTCTGATCCAACCAAGTAGATGCTGGGAAAAGTAGCTATCAGCAGGGTTAGTCTAGGTTCTTTTTTTTGTTTGTTGGTGGGAACTTGTTCCAACTCATTTTATGAAGCCAGCATAATCTTGACACCAAAGCCTGGCATGGACATTATCAGAGAAGAAAAACTGTAAACCAGTTTCACTCATGAAAGTAGATACAAAAATCATAAACAAAATATTAATCTGTGTGCAGCAATACATAAATATAAAAATACATCACAACCAAGTTGTATTTATTCTAGGAATATACTGTATTTTTGGACCATAAGACACACCTAGATTTTAAAGGAGGAAAATAGGGGAAAAAATTTTTAAGCAAAAAATGTAAAATATTTAATAACATAAATAACAATATTTCACCAATGTAAATGTAAACAGAACTCAACAGCAGCATTAACAACCATTATTCCTCCCAAATTGTGTGGGGAGTGTGTCTTATAGTCCGAAAAATACAGTAAGATTGGGTTAACACTTTTAAAAATCAATGTAGGAACTTCTGCTTCCAGTCAAGATGCAGTAGAGGGACTGGATTTACCCTCACCGGTGAAACAACCAGAAACAAAAAAGGAAACTACTTAAGAGAGTAAACAAAGGAACCCACAGGCACTTCACAAAAGAATATATCTAAATGACCTGTATATACATACACATATATACACATAAAAACATAAACACATGAAAGGTGCTCAACATCCTTAGTTACCAAGGAACTGCAAGTTCAAACCAGAATTAAATAGCCCCCCGTTTCTACTAGAATGACTAAAATAAAGGAAAGGGGGAGGAGAGAAAAGAATTATGTAACATTTTTGTAATAAGGAAAAAATCCGTATTTCCATCAGGGTTATTAACTATAATTCTTAATTTTTAGTGGAATAACCAGTGTTTATTTTCTTGTTTTGCTCATCTAAATTTTTAAGTTTGTTTTTCAAAAAATACATATAGCTCCTGTAATAAAAATTAGGGTTTAAAATGTTAAAATGCACATGCAAACATAAAATTAATCTGTTAACATACAGAATTGGAAAGGTCAAATCATTCACTACTGAGCCATTAGCATGTAAGTGTTTAAAAACAAAATATCTGCCACTATGGTCTGGTGATAAAATATACAAATATTTTTTGTACATTAGACAAAAAGTCTAATATACAGAAGTCTGTTAGACAAAAACAGCTAAGTAAACTTTAAAAAGCATGATGTTTATGATGAGTTTCAAGCACTAACGGCAAGAACATGTCAAACTTCAACTGTTAGGTGACAGTTTAGCAATCAGGATGGCACTTAATATTAAGCAGGTGGCTTGAGTGAACATACATTCAGCATTTACTACAAAAGGGAAGGATTCCCCCCATGACAGAGGCATTGGTACACTGCCCTCTGTACCTGGCACATCCTGGGGGAGCTCAGAGCCAACTTATCTGCCATGTCGCTGCTATCATGGGTTTCTGAGAGACACCCCACAAGACTGCTCCCTTTAGAGGGTCTAGTCCCTTTGGAAGAAGCATTTGTTGTGTTGTTGCTGAGATTTGCCGACAGAGTTACCTTTATTCACAACTTCTCTTGGTTCTACAGTAAAATGGACCTCCTCAGTAAAATGTACATTAAAATACCTTCCTCCCTTTCCCCCCTCTATACCCTCCTCCCCTTCTTGTTTCTCATGCTGGGGTTGGGGGGACTGTTGGCAGTGGCTTCCCCCAGCTATTGCTGTCCCCGCCCCCTCTCCCACAAGCTTAGCCCTGTCTTGGGTACCCCTTGGCCTGGGCTGCTGCCGAGGTGCCAGGGAAATCTCTTCAGCATGTCCCAGTGTGTTTTGTAGTATTATGCTGGTTCCCAGACTACCAGGCAGACAGTCCCAATTTAGTTCAGTTAACCTGAGAGGTGGAGCAGTAGCTCCATTTCTGCACAAGTAGATATATTCTGACTTATTGGCTGCCTTGATCCTCAGTGACCCTGTTCTTCCCTAATTTCCTGTTTTCTTTGTCCCTAGCGACAGATCAACCATCCTTTTATACACAGTTTGGGGGACAGCTGGCAGGGAAAACGGCACCTCTTCATTAGTGAGTGACTGGTCTCTCCTCATTCCCAAGGTCCTTCTATCATATTCCCCACCTGAGCCTATCCATCCCTTTGTCTTGTTCTGCCTTTGCCTTATTTCCTCACAGCATTTCTCTCTCCCAAAGTGAGAGGGAACAAACAGCATGTGGCATCAGTTTGGGCAGGAGGTCTACAGTGCCTTGAGCGCAGGCACAGTAGGCCCCAAATTTGCCCAGGCTTCTGGTGCTTTGCAGTGTGCAGCTACTGCAGCACAGATCTGTACTCCCTGTGGTCCACGGTTGGCTGCTTTGCTGAGGCTTCCATCCGCCTCTTTGCTGCTGAGCTGGTCTTGGTGCTGTGTAAGTGAAACAGGAGTGGTAATGGAAATGAGAGAAGGGTTAATGGCAGGGTGGGGGGACAGAAAGAAGAAAATTGGTAGTAACTCTGGAGGTCAAAGAACAGGGAAAGGGATGGGGTGGGGCTACCAGGGTGACTAGAAAGGACAGGAGAGCTGCAGCACACCCCATGCACTTGCTGTCATCCACAGGCTATCTCCATGACTTGGGCATCATCCATCGAGATGTGAAGGTAGAGTTAAGTGCTTTTTTTCTTTGAGGAGGGGCTTTAGTAAGAAGTTCCACACATCCAAGAAAACATAGGGTAGCTGAAAACAGCTGACTTTGGGGCCCTTATGGACAAGGACCTTCCAAGTATAGACCTGAATGTTGAGTAGGGTGTCTTCTTCAGCTGTGGGGTATCCAGGAAGAGGATGAATAATAATTTTTTCACCTGTGAATTTTCAGATGGAGAATATACTTCTGGATAAACGAGGTAAGTCCTTTTTTTTTTTCCTAGTCCCAGAATGAGAGGTATTTCAGTTTGGGAATAAGCCATGGCTGATGAGGGATGGAAGAGAGTGGTGCTTTTACACTATCTTTTATAGGTCATCTGAAACTGACAGACTTTGGTCTGTCCCGCCACCTGCCCCAGGGAGCTCGAGCCTATACTATCTGTGGCACTCTCCAGTACATGGGTAAGAAAAAAGCTAAAGCTGGTGGGCAAGCATTGGGCAGGAGCATAGCCAACCAATGTCAATGACAAGTATCTTTCAAATATGTAGCCCCAGAAGTCTTGAGTGGAGGGCCTTACAACCATGCTGCTGATTGGTGGTCCCTGGGTGTCTTGCTTTTCTCTCTGGCAACTGGAAAGGTGAGAGAATGAATGGTACTCGTTCTGGGCAGAGAAAAGTTTTTGCCCTGTGGTGGGAAGACCTTAGGAAACCTTGCCTCCTTCCTGCTAAGAAATGACACCCCCCACACCTCTTAACTCAGTTCCCAGTGGCTGCAGCGAGAGATCACGTGGCCATGTTGGCAAGAGTGAACCACTATGGCTCTGAGATCCCAGCTTCTCTTAACCAGGGGCTTTCACTTCTGCTCCATGAGGTAAGGGTGAGCACCGCTTTCTTTCTTGACTACCAGACAAAACCATTCACTCTCTCCTTTCCCTGTCACTGAAGTGGTATTTCCCCATTCCACTGATTAATTATTTGGAGGGCAGGGCTCCAACTTGATCAAGTACTATGTCACTACTTGTCCTCTAACCAGCATTTCAAATTTCATTCCTGAGTTCCTGGTCCTCCAAATATCCTCCCCATCCATAACAGGTCACTTCTGAGAATGGGCCAATGATACTTTCTTACCGGTGCAGCTCCTTTATTCCTGCCTTTGCCTCTACATTAGCCTATTTCCCTCTTTTAGAAAGCCTTTCCTCTTTAGGGTTCTTTTTCCTGCCCTCCATGGCTCCATGAACTTCTTTTTCCTTTTCCAGAGTCCCTGTTAACAGCCCCTTTCCTATCCCAGTCCCTTATCCTTGTTGCTTTATTTCCCTTCAGCTCTTATGCCAGAATCCCCTCCAGCGTCTACGGCATTTGCATCACTTCCAGGTCCACCCTTTTTTTCGGGGTGTGGCCTTTGACCCAGAGCTCTTACAGAAGCAGCCAGTGAACTTTGTCATGGAGACCCAGGCTACCCTGCCTAGTTCATCAGAGTCCATGCTGTTTGAGGACTTTGACTGTAACCTGGAGTCCTACCTGGTCCACTCCAGTCCTGCTTGAGGCCCTCTACTATAGATTGAGGGGCCCATTTGGGAACCTGAGGATCACCTCCACTGCCAACTCAGTATGACCACCTTGATGATCCAGTTTGTTTTTACTTTGTAACCTCTTATCATTGTGTTCTTCTTCTAGGCACTGTACCAGAGATTAATTCTTGGGCATTCTGCTACTGGCAGCCATAACTGGCCCTAGCCTTCCCCCATCATACAACCCACCCCTCAATTCAACATCTCAGATCAGAGTGTTGACCTCTTTCTGTTTTCATTTCTCTAGTGCTCAGACCCTGAAGCTTTTAGCCAGAGGCTTATTTTACTTTTCCACTTTTTTCTGCATCATTTTTCCTTTCTTGAGCAATAATAACACTTCATGGGTTCCCAAGGTGCTATTTATATATTTGACAGGCTTGTCAAAAGCAGTATGAATATTTCTTGGAGGTCTCAAAAGCTTGCATTTCAACCCCTAAATATGTATCTAAATCATATGATTCTGGGGGCAAAAAGCCAGTCTGTAATAAATCTGACTTTTTAAAATAAATTATTTATCTATAGAGGGCAGGAGAAGAGAGGGAGAGAAATATCAATGTATGGTTGCCTCTCGTGCATCCCTTGCTGGGAACTGGCCTGCAACCCAGGCATGTGGCCTGACTGGGAATCGAACTGCGATCCTCTGGTTCGCAGGCCCATGCTCAATCCACTAAGCTATACCAGCCAGGGCTAATAAATTTAATTTTTCAGAATTTGAAAAGTGAATCACAGTAGCCTAATGTGAGAAAGAGAATAAATAGGAAGTGAAACATGGGTGTGTTAAATGTTAAGGGTAACTGGAATAGCTATCCACATTTTTTCCAAAACAGAACCTCTTTGAAAGACATAAGGATTCTTTTAAAAAAATTTTTATTTATTGATCTGAGAGAGGGAGAGAGAAACATCAATTCATTGCTCCACTTATTTATGTATTCATTGGCCAACTCTTGCATGTATCCTAACCAGGGATCAAACCCGCAATCCTGTTGTATCAGGATAATGCTCCAACCAAGTGAGCTACCTGTCCAGGGCTGACATAATGATTCTTAAACTGATCATTGCCCTAGACATCCCAGTATTCAGTTTCTAATGGGCAAACCAAGGGATTAAGAGGCATGACATCAACCTTAACATTTAAGAACTTTTTCCTTTAGTAAGAAAAATCATCTGGACCTTAAATTTATATATATTTCTGGCCTTTTGACTTCTTTTTATTTTAACTTCTCAAAAGCTTCATTTTTATTATTCTTCAGCCATATCTGGTTTCCTTTTTCAGACCAAAGGAGTCTGTAAAATATTCTGTGTACTTCTATTGATTCTGTCCCTGGATTAAGCCAGATCTTCCCTATACATAGATAGCATTTTATTTGCCTCTTATAGAATTGCTTTTACTGGATTATACTTTGGCAACATGTATCAAATCTCTATGAAACTTAATTGCTGTAGATACTGTGAAGGGTATTTATGATTACAATTCATAATGTTCTTTTTAAAGATGCATAGGAGAAATTTTCTCTGAACCCAGTTGTACTTTCTCTGAATTGCTGTTTGGTTTTACCTTAAGGACACTAAATATTCAACTGACTGTATTTTTCTTTTCATAATGATGCTAGACTACTTAGAGCCAAATTGTGGCCCACATCCAGCAAGGGTTTAGGACTTCACGTTATGTATTTTGTATGGTAGCTAAAGTTATCAGGGAGACCTGAGTTAGGGGGCTTCCCCTCCTTGGTTTTTGTCTCAATCTTGAGAGATGAATTCAGTCAGGAGACAAGAAGTATAGTAGAAATGAGATGGTAAGTTTATTTAGGAAACACACTTGAGCACGAAGGTGCAAGCGGGCACCTGGTAGACTGTATGCACCTACTATTGGGATTTTAGGGGTTTTATGCTTGTAGCCAGTTTCTAATTTCCCTCTCCTCCTCACTTCTCTGGACCTTGGTATTAACATACAGATTCAAAGGCTTCCTTTCTCAGATAGTGGAAATAATACACAAGGCCCCCTCCTCCTGCACTCATCATAGTCTTTCTTTTGATTTTCGGAACACCTGGCAATCTTATCTGACCAGGCGCAGGACTGCTGAATTAATGGGTGAGGTGTGTCTCCCTTCCTCTCCCTTCCTTGGTTTGCTATCTTCCCTGCCTAACAGATACGTTCTTCCTTTGTTTCCTTTATTTTCTACCCTTATTTTCCTAATTCTTATTTTTCTGTTTTATCTTACTATATTATCTGCATCTTTGCAAGCCTTCTGGGAATGAGGCTGGGATATAAATAAATAAAAGGAGCCCTGGTTGGTGTGGCTCAGTGAATTGATTGCCAGCCTGCAAACCAAAAGGATGCAGCTTCAATTCCTAGTCAGGGCACATGCCTAGGTTGCTGGCCGGGTCCTCAGTTTTGGGTGTGTAAGGGGCAACCGATTGATGTTTCTCTATATTTCTTTTCCTCTCTTTCTCCCTCCCTTCCCCTCTGTCAAAAAAGTAAATAAATAAAACCTTTGAAAAAAAGTAAAAGAATGTATCCTTAATCTTTTTTTGATTATCTCATTTGTTTCTCTTTAGACACTTAATTTTAAAGCTGTTTTAAATTTACATTGTAGTGACCAGAACTGCACACTGGATAAAAACCATGAATACTAGAAATAGGAATTAATGGTTTCTAAAATAGTAGTTAAAGAGTTTTGGAATTTAGGACATCTGGTGCCTGGATCCATCAATAACTATCTCAGTGCCTTACACAAGTCATTTTAACCTCTCTGGGTCTTCGTTTCCTACGTATAAAATGAGGAGGTTGTAGCCACTGGTTCTTAATTGTGAGGGATGGGTTTCAGATTTCTGTAATGCTTTTTCAAAGGGCAGATGCAGATGGTGTAATGATTCTATGTGTCTGGTTCAGTGTTAATTAATGTTCAGGTCACCTAACATTATATAGCCTCTCTAATCACAGCAGCATATTGAGTTAAGGTCTTTAGGACATGGTTAACTTAGCATACCACTAGGGTCCCTTTCCTAGGTCATATTAGATTGCTTCTAGAGACCATGATCATGTAAGTGTAGTTTGAATAATTTCTTACCAAATTAGGATACTGTGAACACACTCTATTCAGTGGTACACTACTGATTTTTCAGGGCTGAGTGGAGGGGAGACAGAAAATCAAAGTTTCAGATAGTAAACTTTAAGAAAAGCACTGTCCCCTACCCCCTAGTTTTGTTATGTTCATCCTTGGAAGAACCCCTGACTGCCATTCAGAATCACTAGCCTATAAATATAATACTTCTTATTTATCTATATTAAATTCACTTAAAAAATTTAAAATATGCAACCTGAAATGATCTGTTAAGTTTAAGCCTATGCTTTAATTTTTCACTACCTAGAAGAAATCGGATACACCTGTAAATGTGGATATTTTACCTTTACTCCCTCTGCCTTTTTTAAGAATTTAAGATTAAGCCCTGACCAGTGTGGCTCAGTTGGTTGACTGTTGTCTGGCAGAGTGAAAGGTTGCTGGTTTGATTCTGGTCAGGTCATATACTTCGGTTGTGGGCCCGGTCCCAGTCAGGACATGGATGAGAGCCAATCTTTTTGTTTCTCACATCAATGTTTCTCTCCCTCTTTCTCCCTTCTTTCCCCACTATCTAAAATATAAAAATAAATAAATAAAAATTTACAATTAGTCTCAAGACCAATCCTTATGTACTTCTTTTATAACAGTGTCTTTGTGGTTCTCATTGTTTCTCACCTCAGTCTACTTTATAATATATTGATTTGTTCATTTGTTTACTTGTTCACTGATTTTTTTCCTCCCATCACTGATTTTTAAAAACTGGTAATCTCTATTCCTTAGTTACATCTTTTTAAAAAATATTTTATTTAGTTTTAGAGAGAAGGGAGGGAGAGAGAGAAAAGCATCAATGTGTAGTTGCCTCTCATGCATCCCCAACTGGGGACCTGGCCTGCAACCCAGGCATGTGCCCTGACTGGGAACTAAACCAGTGACCCTTTGGTTCGCAGGCCAGGGCCCAATTCACTGAGCCACACCAGCCAGGGCATTAGTTACTTCTTTAAGTAGTCCATAATGTAAAAATCTTGTCAAACCTTTTTAAAAAAATTAAATTAATGAAGTAAAATCATACCGACTGCTTTGTTAACCTCTGTTATGTGCTATATTGTATCCCTCCTTCAACTCACATGCTGAAGTCCTAACCCCTAGTACTTCAGAATGTGACTTATATTTGGAGATGGGGTCTTTAAAAGATGTAATTACATTAAAATGAGGTCATATGAGTGGGCTCTAATAATATGATTGGTGTCCTTACAAAGAAGAGGAAATTAAGACACAGACACACACAGAGGGAAGATGATGGGAAGATACGGGGAAACAGCCATCTACAAGCCAATGAGAGAGGCCTCAGAAGAAACGAATGTTGCTGATACCTTGATCTCAGACTTCTAACCTCTGGAATTTTGAGAAAATAAATTTCTGTTGTTTAAGTTACCCAGTCTGTGGTACTTCGTTATGGCAGCCCTAGCAATCTAGTACAACCCTATAAAGAGTTCTAATAAATTAATCAGGAATGATGGTTATTATAATTTTTTTTAAAGCATGCTGCCTTCTTCCCTATAGGTTGGGTTTTTTTTTTAATATTCTGAGAACATTATTTCAGATTTCACTGGCTTCTCTCTTAAGGTTTGCTGGTTTATGAAGCTGTCCCATTGCCTCCTCCGTTCAGTACTCTGTCATACACATTAGTAAAGCTAATAATTCCACAGTTTCATCCTTGAGTTCACTCAGAAGAACTTCCTGATGGATACTTCTGAGTTGCTGATTTGCGTTATGGAATTGGATTATTATAAAATAAGTAATCTCTAATCCTAAAATTTAAAAACTACAGTTGTTTTTAAATACCTGGCTTCCGCCAAGATGGAGGCGTAGGTGGAAGCACTGCTCCTTCTCACACAACCAAGTTTAAAAACAACAAAGTTCTAGCAACAAAAGCACAGCCAAACCACAGAAAATTGAACTACACGGAAGTCTGACAATGAACCCTTCAGCCAAACCGGTAAGAGGGGCAGAGCCAGCAGCAGAGTGGTGTCGGGCAGGAAAGATCCATTGGAGCAACGGGGGCGCGCAACCCAGGCACGCCGGCAGCTGTAGGCAGATCCCAGGTGTGGAGAAGTGGGTGGACCCACTGAGGGCAAAAGGCGGTGGACTCACTGAGGGCTGACCAAAGTCACACAGTTGAGCGCAGATAAACTGGTGAAGGAGCGAAGCAGTGAGACAGACCGTGCAGGCCCCAGTAGCGGAAAGTGGCAGAGGGGACCGCCACTGTCCCTCTCTGACCCCGCCCCCACATACAGCGTCACAAACCAGCGACCTGGGTGGCCCTGCCCTGGTGAACACCCTGTACGTACAGGCATGAACAGATCAAAACATGGCTCAAGAACAACTCAGAGCCCCAGAGCCGATAAATCTAAGCGACCAAGAAATAGCCAAACTTTCAGATGCACAGTTCAAAACACTGGTGATCAGGATGCTCACAGAACTGGTTGATTATAGTCACAAATTAGAGGAACATATGAAGGCTAAACTAATTGAAATGAAGGGAAATGCACAGGAAACCAATAGTGATGGAGAGGAAACTGGGACTCAAATCAAAGGAGTGGACCAGAAAGAGGAAGAAAATGACCAAACAGAAAAGGATGAAGAAACAAGAATTCAAAAAAATGAGGAGAGGCTTAGGAACCTCCAGGATATCTTTAAACACTCCAACATCCAAATTATAGGGGTACCAAAAGGGGAAGAGGAAGAGCAACAAGTGGAAAACTTATTTGAACAAGTAATAAAGAAGAACTTCCTCAATCTGGCAAAGGAAATAGACTTCCAGGAAGTCCAGGAACCTCAGACAGTCCCAAAGAAGGTGGACCCAAGGAGGAACACACCAAGGCACATCATAATTACATTAGCCAAGATTAAAATGAAGGAGAGAATCCTAGAAGCAGCAAGAGATAAGGGGACAGTCACCTACAAAGGCATTCCCATCAGACTGTCAGCAGATTTCTCAAAAGAGACATTACAGGCAAGAAGGGGCTGGAAAGAAGTATTCCACGTCATGAAAACCAAAGATCTACAACCAAGATTGCTCTACCCAGCAAAAGTTTCATTTAGAATGGAAGGGCAGAGAAAGCACTTCTCAGATAAGGTCAAGTTCAAGGAGTTCATCATCACCAAGCCCTTATTATATGAAATGTTAAAGGGACTTACCTAAGAAAAATAAGATAAAAAAGATGAACAGTGAAAGGACAGCAAACTCACAGTTATTAAGAACCACACCTAAAACAAAAGCAAACTAAGAGGAGAGCTAGATCAGGAGCAAAACCATAGAAATGAAGATCACATGGAGGGTTAGCAACAGGGGAGTGGGAGGAGGAGAAGGAGGAGAAGGTACAGAAAATAAGTAGCATAAATGGTAGTTAGAAAATAGGGGGAGGGCAAGAATAGTATGGGAAATATAGAATCTAAAGAACTTGAGACACGTGGTCATAATCTAAAGGGGGGAATGGTGGGGGAGTGGTGTGCAAGGTGGAGGGGAATGAAGGGGGAAATAGAACTGTAATGACATAATAAAATATATTTTAAAAAATAATTAAAATAAAATCTTTAAAAATAAATAAATAAATAAATAAATAAATAAATAAATATCTGGACTCCTACTATATATATCACAAACAAGACTTAATTCCAGATACATTAAGGGTTTAAGTGTGAACATCAAAACATTAATCTTAGAAGAACATTTGGGAGGCTAGACCTATCAAGGACTGGAAGAGATACGTAGACCAAGAACAGAAAATGAAAGCACTATATAAGAGAAAAACAATTACATAAAAATTTGATGAATGAACACTCAAGAAATCCAGATGCTCTGAAAGGAAAGATAAATATATGGACCGCGTAAGTTTTATCTTTGGCTGAAGATAGCATTAATAGTCAATGGACAAAAAATAGATCTTAAAAAATACTTGCAGCATGACAGTTAATGCCTATAACAACTCTAAAAATTATAAAAGAGAACCTATTTTTAAGGGCAAGGAATATGAAGTGACAAGTTAACTAGATCTATATTCATTGACTTAGAGGCTCTATAGAAGACATTGAGGAAAAAATGCAGAAAGAGATGATGTTATTTGTGTAAAGGACTCAATGCCTTCTTCCCCTTCCTTGCATGTGTAAGATAAAGAACATGAAAAAGTGAACATGGAAGGGAGAAAGGAGTAATGCACATGGAAAGAGGGAAAAAATAGACACTAGCTCTTAATCCTAGACACCTCAGTGTGCCCATCTGTTAATTTTGTAGGTAAAAAAAGTGTGTAACTAAACAAATGAAACGTGTGTATGTTTTCATAAAGGTGTATACATTTGTTTACAGCAGAGAGGGGAAGCTTTGTCTTTAATACAGCTTTGCACCATTTCACTTGCTGTAACAAGCATCTGTTATTTTTATAATTAAAAAACACCAAATTTAAAAAATTTATTATACAACACCAGCAAACTAATTCTGTTTTAGTCACCTATTTACAATTGTGTTCTCCCTCTCATTTCTAGCCTTTCATATCCCTTTTAATTTGCTGCTGGAAGCACCATATCCTTTGGCTACTCACTTGGCATCTGACGTACCAATTGCTAAGCATTCCGATTCACACATTTCTGTAATATACAAGCTTTTGTAGTAGCACTTAAAAGTTTTCCATCGTGGTTTTTCTGTCACTCCCCACCTTTGTTTTATTTGTTGAATATTTCTGACCAGAAGTACATATACATTGGGACTCCTTTTGCTGAGTCTTGGGCAATCTCAAATTTGTGTTCGTTCTTTGTGTTTCTCCCAGTTTTCCAGAGCTGCTATTTCTAGTGCCTGCAGTTTGGGACCATTATCTTTCCAGAGCAGTGTTATCCAACAGAAATGTTAGACTCATTAGTAATGTCAAATTTGCTAGTAGCTACATTAAAAAGGTAAAAAGAAGCAGGTGAAATTACTTTTAATGTACTCTACTTAACCCAATATACCTAAACCATTTCAACATGTAGTCAATATTTTTTAAAAGTTTATTTATTTATGTATTTTTAAAAGAAGATTATTTATGGGGCGGGGGAGGCTGGGATGGGAAAAATAGACAAAAAACTGTACTTGAAAAATAACTAAATAAAATTAATTTTTAAAAAAAGATTATTTATTTATTTTTAGAGGGGGGAGGAGGGTAGGAGAGAAATATCAATGTGTGGTTGCCTCTTCATGCGTCCCCTGCTGGGAACTAGCCTGCAACCCAGGCATGTGCCCTGACTGGGAATCAAATTGCGATCCTCTGGTTCGCATGCCTGTGCTCAATCCACTGAGCTACACCAGCCAGGGCAAAGAGTTTATTTTTGACAGAAGGGAATGGAAAGAGAAAGAGGGAGAGAAACATCAATGCGTGGTTGCCTCTCGCAGGCCCCCTACTGGGGACCTGACCTGCAACCCAGGCATGTGCCCTGACTGGGAATCAAACCAGTGACCCTTTGGTTCTCAGACCCGCACTCAATCCACTGAGCCACAGCAGCCAGGGCCAATATTTTAAAAATAATATATTTTAAACTCTTTTTTAAAATAAAGTATTCTAAATGCAGTTGGTATATTATACCTATAACATCTTAATTTGGACTAGCCACACTTGAAGTATTCGTGTAAATAAGGTGCTGTAAGTGTTCAAAGGAAAATATTTAATTACAAACTTTTATCTCTGAATACTTGCCTTTATTGTTTCCACCTTCGACAGCTAAGCTAGATTTCCCATACAGAGGATTTAAGTGACGGGAAAATGTAGTTGTTAGTGTGGGTTGCAATCTTGACAGTCATTTACTACCTGCGGGGCACTGGGCAAATTTCATGATCTATGACTCAATTCCTTCGTCTGTAAAATGGGGATAAAATGGGAACTAGGTCTCAGGCCATTACGGCCGCAGAACCTACAAGTACGTAGGATAGACCAAGTCTAAGTAAAAACCGCTCCACTCAGTTTTCCCTTACAGACTCCCTGGCCGGCTCTTTCTAGTGGAGGCTGAGGCGCGTAGTAACTGAGGGAAACCTGAGGAGAAACTTCCAAAGGCCAGGCCACGGAGACAACTTTTCCGACAGAATGTGAGAGTGGGCCACTGGAAGCAGAAGAGATGGACTCCCCTGAGGGAGTGGTCACCTACCGGCCTCACGCCTGACAAACCTCCAATCCTCCAGCCCGCTTCAGCCGGTAGGGATCCGTCGAGGGCAAACACGTGACTGTCGGTCGGAAGGGGCGTGGCCCCAGATGGCCACGCCCGCCGCCCACTGGTCTTGATCCCCGAGCGAACGCGCCAGACTGACGCACTGAGGTTCCGCAGCCAATCCGGAAGCGTGGCGCAGTTTTGAACGTGGACGACGGGTGGAGTAGCAGTAACCTCTTAGATCTGCGAGGTGATCAGTCTGCGTTCTATGTTGAAGATGTGGCGTGTAAAAAAATTGTCGCCTTCTCCCCAACCGGTGAGCGGGAGAGCCACAAGGAGAAAGACAGCTGAGTCGAGCTTGGGGGCGGGGGTGGAGGCGTGTGGTAGTTTTTGTTGGTCCTGGCGCTTCCTCGCCTCTGGGGTAGGAGCCTCTTGCGTCCTAAGCCGCTTAGGAGGAGGGGCGGGCCGAGAGTCTGGGCTTCCTCACACTCTCCTTTCTTTCTCAGGGAAAACCAGCTATGAGAACTCCTCTCCAAGAACTTAACCTGCAGCGCGGTGCCCTCACCGGCTCTGGAAAAAAGCCTCAGACAGGCTACTCGCTGACCCCATCGCTGTGCAAACTGGGGCTGCAGGTGAGCTTCACCTAGCCAGCTTCTCCACTGGGCTGTTTGCCGAGGCCGAGAGCTCAGAGGAACTGAGGGCCACAGCTAGAACGTAATTAATAACGATAATGAAATCTTCTACCTTAGTGACATCCATTTACAGCTATTCAGGCCAACAGAGAGGTGCCCTAGGGTGATTAAAGGAAATCCACTGAGAACCTGTACCTCTATTTAGCGGTAGGATTTTATTACCTCCTCCCCCGTTCAATCTTTACAAAACTAGAGATAAATTCTCCAATATCATTTTGATTAGTAGTCTTCCTCTAACATGGGCTCACTTCTGTGGATGTCAGACAGCTGCCAGAGTGAGGCAGTACAGGGTGGAGCAAAGGTAGGTTTACAGTCATTTTATGGAAAATAATGCAATCATTAATAAATAATACAAGAATAGACTGTTTTGCATGCTCACAACAGTAAACCTACTTTTGCCCCACCCTGTATCCATTCATTCTAGTCCTTTCTTTTTCTGACAGTGAAAACTGGGTAGTTCGCCATGTTTTCCCTCTTGCTGTGGCTTCAAAAAGCTCGGGATCAAATCTGATCATAATATATAGCTACTGTACCCTTTGAAATAGGAAGATTTGCTTTTTTGATTATGATTTTGTATTTCATTAACCTGATCAAATGACTTCTCAATCTATCCTTTTTCATGCAGTCCGAATTATTTTTGGAAGGTGATGGGATACAAATAAAATAGGTTAGAGAAAGAAAGAAGAATATGTAAAGGCGGGCGACAGCCTGAGTAACAGATGTATGAGGGTAGTGACCTTTTTTAATAAATTATTTTTTATTTAAAAAAATATTTTATTTATTTACTTAATTTTAGAGAGAAGGGAAGGGAGGGAGAAAGAGAGGAGAGGAATATCGATGTGAAAGAGAAACGTTGGTCAGTTGCGTCTCTCACACCCCCAACTGGGAACCTGGCCTGCAATCCAGGCATGTGTCCCCACCTGGAATCAAACCAGCAACCTTTCCATCCGTCTGCAGGGATCCGTCAACCCACTGAGCCACACTAGCCAGGGCTCATTGGTTGCTTCTTCTATGTGCCCTGACTGGGAATTGAACCTGCAACTTTGGTGTATCAGGATGGCATGTAACCAATTGAGCTATCCAGCCAGGGCTAGTCCTTTGCCCATTTTCAAGTTGATTTGTTTGGGGTTTTTTGTTGTTGAGTTTTTAGGAGTTCTTTATATATTCTGGATATTAATCCCTTGTCAGTTTTATGATATGCAAATATTTTCTTCCTAAGATATTTTTTAATAGGATAAATAGGAACTTGATAAACAGCAAGAATTTTAAGGTGTACTTTTGCATCTAAAAGTCTTTAGTTTGTATATTTAGCTTCTGGGCTATTTAGTATTGACTAATTTATGTTTTTTATATCATATACAGTTATATCTTCTATCATGATAGTGCCATAACTTCACATTCTTTTTCTCTTAAAGATTTTATTTATTTATTTTTTAGAGAGAGGGGAAGGGGCGGAGAAAGAGAGGGAGAGTGTGGTTGCTCCTCATGTGGCCCCTACTGAGGATCTGGCCTGCAACCCACACATGTGCCCTGATTGGGAAATCAAACTGGTGACCCTTTGGTTTGCAGGCCAGCGCTCAATCCATTGAGCGACACCAGCCAGGGCTATAACGTTACATTCTGTTTTCTGATGTTATTGTGCCTGTGATCTCTTTTTGCTTTGCCTGGTAGCTCTTTGCTATCTCATTTATTTTCTACTTTTCCTTCAGTACTTTGAAAGAAAAAAAAAGCTTTTTTTACAGTTAACCTAATTTTATTCATGCTTGCCTTGGATGGGGAATAGATCACTCAGTAGAAGCATACAGTAAAAATAAAGTATGTCTTATCATGTATAACTTTTAAGCTACAGTAATGATATACCTTAATTACTTCCATTCACACAAGTCTAATATTAACAGTTTAAAAATATATAATTGAGACTTCTAGGAGCATTTTATGATATGGTATTTCCTAATTTTCTTTGTAGATAGATCAAGCACTCCCAAAATACAAATTCCTATATAATGAATGCTTTACTTAAAATGAATACTTAAGGAAATTAAGTATGTGGACAGCCTTAGGTTAACAAATCTTAGTGCCAAATGGAAAAAGTGTATTCACAAGTAAATTTCAAAAACTTTTTATAATTAAATACAGAAAATATATTGATTTGCTAAAATAAATAAGATGTGATGTTAGTAACACTTCGCTATAAAGAATGCATACCAGAACACTTATAAATGATTAATGAATCTGCAAAGAAAAATTTTTAAAAGTTAAAATGTGTGAAAGTACATTAAACATACAGCTTAACACATTTGTATAAAGCACCCATCATTGTAACCAATATTCAGGTCAGTAAATAGGACATTTGCCGACTATCAGAAGCCCTTTTTAGACTTTCTGTAAGTCTGATTCTTTCTTTCTTTTTTTTTAAAATAATTTGTCTTTCTGTCTGAAACTTATAAGATAGTTTTGTCTTCCTTGTAGCCCAGAAGTTTTATCTTTTTTGGTATTTTTTCTTGTTAATCCTGTTTAGAAGTGGTGGGCCATTTCAATATGCAAACTCAGGTCTTTCTTTACTTTAGAGAAATTTTCTCCTAATACAGGGTGGGGCAAAAGTAGGTTTACTGTTGTGAGTACACAAAACACAGAGTTTATTCTTGTATTACATTTATTAATTATTGTATTATTTTCCATATGAACAACTGTAAACCTACTTTTGCCCCAGCCTGTATTTGTTAATCAGTGTCTCATCTGTATGTGTTCTCTTTCCTCCTAGAACTTGTTTTGTTCAAATGTTAGGTATTGGTTTTTTTTTTAAATAGTAATTTCAGATTATTCTGGGTTATTTTTCTTTCTTTTTTTTTTTAAAGATTTTATTTATTTATCTTTAGAGGGGAAGGGAAGGAGAGAGGGAGAGAAACATCAATGTATGGTTGCCTGTCGTGCATCTCCTGCTGGAAACTGGCCTGCAGGGAACCAGCCTGCAACCCAGGCATGTGCCCTGACTGGGAATCGAACCGCGATTGTCTGGTTCACAGGCCTGCGCTCAATCCACTGAGCTACACCAGCCAGGGCTGTTATTTATTTATTTATTTATTTATTTATTTATTTATTTATTTATTTTAGATTGTATTGATTTATTTTTGGAGAGAGGGAGAGGGAGAGAGGGAGAGAAACATTGATGTGTGATAGATAGATCTATTGGTTGCTTCTTGCACAACCCCAACTGGGCATGTGGTCCGCAACCCAGGCATGTATGTGCCCTGACTGGGAATCCAGCCGGTGACCTTTTTGTTCACAGGCCAGCACTCAATCCACTGAGCCACACCAGCCAGGGCCACATGTTAGGTTTATTGGATTTATATTCCAATTCTCTCAGCTTTTCCCTAATATTTATTATTTTGGGGGGTACTTTTATCTTTGCTTTACAGTATTTCTTCCCTTTGATTGTCCAGGCCAGTAATTCCAGTCTGAATTCAGGCCATCCTCTTACAGTTCTTTTCACTATATATATTTTTGTTGTTTAACAGTACTATTTATTTAGTACAGACACACAGAAAGTCTGTGTGTCTGTATGTTGTACTTGATCTTTTTTTACACACTCATTTATTTTTTTGGTTCAAATTGTCACGTTTCTTCCATCAGCTGTGTTCTGTTGGTGTCTACCTTTCCTATGTTAGGATTTGTTCTTTCTCTGACTACTGCATCCACTTAAGTACATTCATATTTTCCTTTTCATGTTCACTGAGTCTCAGGACCAGCAACCCTGCAAGTGGCAGAAGGTACAGTGGTCCTTGTCCTCATGAACCAGCAGGTGGGAGCTTGTCAGTCTCTTAGGGCACCAGGTGGGACTCTCTCTGCCCTTTATTCTCCTCTCCTACAAAGGCTAGAACCCTTCACATCCAAGGGTTAAATGGTCGACCCATGTGGTTAGCATACTTTCAGCTCTTGGGGTTCAGGGAGACTAGGTTACTGGCACAGGTTGATGTTGCCCTTTTCCCTTAGGATGCATGGATCTCTGTGGGTCAAGTGCTCTCTGATGCTGGTTCCCAATTTCTCATCTGTTCTGGAAGGAAGAAAATCTTGAACCAACTCTAAATTCTAAAAGCTTGAGCCTAGGGAGCTCTCCTGCTATTCCACCTTGAAATGAGCTGGAGTTAGAATCGAAGAGGAGTGGGTTCACTTTCAAGCTACCCTCTTTCTGTGGTATAGATAAATTATCTCAGCCTTGTTTATATTGTAGGTGGGTTCACTTGGAAGGACCCAAAACAGCTTCTAGCTTTTCTTTCCCTGCTGGGTCTCTGTAGTGAGCAGCAAGGCTTAGCCAAAGTCTTATCTAAGCAGAGAAAATGAGAACTCTTCTTTTTTTTGAGTTTGGACAGTATCCAGTACCCATCATTTTATGTTAGGAACCATAGTTGACTGCCTTAATCAACTACTTATGTTTCCTCTGGCAGGAGGACAACAATAACTCATCTTTGGTGGATTTTGAAAATGCTAAGATGACAGACTCCTCCCCATCAGAACAGTTCATCCATCCTTCAGAGTGGCTAGAAACTTGTCAACGTGAATCAGATGAGCAGCCCCTACAACTGATTCCCCAAAACAACTCTACTCCTAAAACATCTGAGGAAGCAGTAGATCCACTGGACAACAATATGGTTAAAACCACAGTCTGCGTATCCTCTCCAGGAGGGCAGCAGCAAGACATTACACTTGAGGCCTATTTGAATACCAAGGCAGAGACAAACGGTTTCTCTCTAGGTGAACCTTTGAGACCAGGTGAGCTGCTGGGAAAGGAGGTGGAACCCTGCATGGAAGACGCCTTTTCAGAAGTTGTTCCTGCTGTGCTTGAGAAACTTACATTTCAGGATCTTCCATCCCATCTCTTGGAGTACCCACCAAATCCTTGTTCCGAGCAGCAGCTACAGTGCTCCAAGGAAAGCCTGACAGGCAGTAGAACTGAGGCTGTGCCTGAGGACTTGGTGTCTTCTGATAGTAATAATGCCTTCTTGCCTTCTTCCATGTTCTGTCTTCCCTCTTCAACTTCCTTAGCAGCAGATTTCCCTGTCAGTCATGTGGACTCAGGGGAGGAAATTGAAATAGTAGAGCACAGAGTTATTGAGGAAAGAGAAATGAGCTTTTCCACATTCCCTGAGGAGGCTGAGTTGGGAGATAAAGCATTTGTCTCCAATATGGAAAATATTCCATCCACATGCCTGACCCCAAATCCAGGAGAAATGGAGTCCCAGGCAGCTCCAGGCCCAGCAGTAGAAGATGCTGGTAGGATTCTCATCTCTGATGCAGAGCCTTGGATGTCCCCACTGGCCTGGCTGGAAAGAGGTTTAAATACCTCAGTCATGTTGGAAAATCTCCGCCAGAGCTTATCCCTTCCCTCTGCGCTTCGGGATGCTGCAAGTGGCACTACTCCTTTCCCTACTTGCTCGGTGGGGACTTGGTTTACTCCCCCAGCACCACCACAGGAAAAGAGTACAAACACATCCCAGACAGGCCCAGTGGGCAGCAAGGACAGTACTTCCGAGGGAGACCATCTCCTGTGGGGGTAAGTGTCCCTGTATCCTTGCTCCATTAACCTGGACCTGCCACTCCCATCCCTTCCCCTACTTTCTCATGTTCTGTTTCTGCTGTAGCCATCCTCCAGATCTGACTGCCTTATCTCGACATGACCTAGAAGATACCCTGATGAACTCTCTTGTCATTCTGGAGGGTCTCTCCCGCCATCTGCGGAATTGGAAGAGCCAGCTAACTACCCCTCACCCAGAAGTTCAGGACAGTAGCACACAGACTGACACAACTGACATCTCTCTCAGTGGGGTAAGGAGGTTACTCCCAAAGTGTGGGAGATTCCAGTGGGCCCTCTTCCTCAGAAATTAAGCTAATAAACTGCTAGAGGGTGAAAGAGACTCCTTAACCACAGATTCATCCTTAGAATATGAAAAGATGTGAATCTGGAAAATTCCTTAAAGCTGTGGGTACTCACTATACCCCTTGGGTACGTCAAGACTTTCCAAGGAAATGTAAGCAAGGAAAGCCCTAAAGGAACTGGTTTCTAGATCTTCACCTTCCAAATGTACTCTGCTAATTTTTTTGCCTTCCTATTTCCCCATTCTCAATTGCCCTTGCCCACTTTACGAAAGACACCCATATTTACTGCTATCTTGAGTCTTAGGTTGTCAAGGGATAGCAATCAAATAATAGAAAATATTTGTGTACATGCTAAGAAAGTGAATGACTGTAATAATCATATAACCTGTCATTTTTGCACACTTTTAACAAAATCAAAGGAAAACTTTTAATTATTTTAGTGGATCATTAAACATTTTCAATGAAAGTTCACTACAAGATTTTTGGCATATATCTCCGAAGGAGCTTAGAATTGGATGGCATGCCCTTCTTGCCTTGTTTCACTCTTATTCCCATTACTTATGTGAAGATTTCTCAGTGCTCACATCTAGAAGGATTGAAAGTAGGCATAAAATTGTTGCTGAACCATGTCTTATTGTAGGAATTACAGTAATCCACAGGCACATCAACTAATAAGTGGAGGGAGACTTCATTCATTTCATTAGTGGGTGATTACCAATCAAATTATTAAAGGTATGTTTGTGATTTTATGAAAATTATAACATTACAGTAATTAGTATACAATTATTAAAAATATTTCTCTACCCAAAAGAAATTTCTCCATGTAGAAGTTTGTGGTCGGAGGAATTTAAAAGAAATTTAAATTTAAATGAACTTTTGTTGTTGTAGATGTATTGGTTAATAACAGACTTTAAAGTGTAAAAATACATTAGGATAAAATTCCGTGAGCATTAGAAATACAGGTTCAAGAAGAAAAAAATGATATGAAATTTCTGACTTGTTAAAGAAGAGGTTGTTCATGTATTTGTAAGGGTATAAATAGGCATTAAGTCATTACGATGTATGTTTTTAAACCACTGGATATATTTGAGTGATTTAACAGTTCTATTTCAAACTGTCAGTACTCAATATGGTAGAAATTATAGCCTTTATAACAATTTAAACTTAAGGGCATCCAGTCTTTCAAAACTATTTCCGCAGATATGAGAGGGAAAGAATTGTAGAGGACTCCAGCTGTGACAACACAGGCTGAGGAGGGAGAGGGATGGTGTCGGGGAAGGAATTGAGAGCCTCAGTACCATGGCTGGTGAGGTTAATAGGTGGCCGCTACTAAGAAGAGATGTTCTCCAAATGCCCGAAGACATCCTTTGTGTTGAAACTATCCTCAAATAATGACTTTACCTTTTGCCCAAGTCCTGGAAACCATAGGCTTATCGTTCCTTTAGCTGCTCAGTTTCTCTCCTGTGTTTTCTTATTTTTGTATCCTTTTCTCTTGTCCTTGACCTCATTCCCTATCCCCTAGTCAGTCTTGTACCTCTTCCCCTGAAGCTTGCCAAATCCTTTTGGAGGCCACTGAAGCAGAACCAAAGAGGAGAAATGACAGCACCTTCAGCCATCCCCCTCACAGTGCCATGTCCTTGCCGCTTGACATCCTCCTTCACACTAATCTCATCGCCTGCCTGAGTGCCCAGCTCCGCGCACAGTGTGTGCGGCTTGTCCAGGGCTCATGGGGTACTCCGTGCCTTAGTGCACGACATAGGAGGGAGTGATCACTGCATTGCTGGAGAAGGGAGTGATGAACTCTAAGAGATCTGCCCCCTTAAATCCAGACTGCTGTGACGTCCTGACTGTTGTGAGGTCGTGACTGGGCACTGCTGCTCCAGCAGTCAGTTTTTTTCCACAGATGATGACTGCCTTTCAGCAGTAGTGAAGGCTCCCTGCTTTTCTCTCAGAACTTCAGCCTTTCCATAGCTCTGCTGCCTTTGAGATCGTATGTGTCTACTCTACACAGCACACTAAGATTTTTTCTGCTCCAAGATAATGAACAGAGAATAAGGAAATAAAAATGACTAATAAACATTTGAGAAGTTCACCATTACTGATGATCAGAGAAATGAAAATTGAAACAATAATGCTATTTTCTTCTGACAAAATAGCAAAGAATAAAATAGATAATGCTGGTAAGCATTGTCCTACTGACAGTAGAATATAAGATGGTTCAACTTTTTTTTTAATCCTCACCCAAGGACATGCTTATCAATTTCAGAGAGAGCGGCAGGGAGGGAGAGAAACATCAATGTGAAAAAGAAACATCGACTGGTTGCCTCTTGTACGTGCCCCGACTGGGGACCAAACCTTCAACCTAGGCTTGTGGCCTGACTGGGAATCGAACCCACAACCTTTTGGGTTCAACCTTATTATTATTATTTTTTAAGATTTTATTTATTTACCTTTAGAGGGGAAGGGAAGGAGAGAAGGAGAGAAATATCAATGTATGGTTGCCTCTCGTGGGTCCCCTGCTGGGAACTGGCCTGCAATCCAAGCATGTGTCCTGACTGGGAATCAAACTGCAATCCTTTGGTTCTCAGGCCTGCACTCAATCCATTGAGCTACACCAGTCAGGGCAGGATTCAGCCTTTTTTGAAGGACATTTAAGGACAACTCTTAAAGCAGTTCAAGCTTTTTTACCTAGTAACTTTACTTCTAGGGCTATATCCTAAGGGGAAAAATTTTGGCATAAAGATGGTAACTTTAAAACAAAAATAATGAGCCCTGGGTAGTGTGGCTCACTGGACTGAGCACTGCCATGTGAACCAAAGGTCGCAAGCAGGATTCCCAGTCAGGGCACATGCCGGGGTTGTGGGGGGGTCCCCAGTTGGGGGCATGTGAAAGGCAACCAATTGCACACACTGGTGTTTTTCTCCCTCTCTGTCTCCCTCCCTTCCCCTTTCTACAAATAAATAAAATATTTTTAAAAACCCCATAAAAATAATGAAAATATATAAAAAATAATGGTCTATTGTCCTGGCTGGTATAGCTCAGTGAAATGAGCATGGGCTGTGAACCAAAGGGTCACAGGTTCGATTCCTAATCAGGGCACATGCCTGGGTTGTGGGCCAGATCCTCAGCGGGGCCCATGCGAGAAGCAACTACACATTGATGTTTTTCTCTCTCTTTCTCCCTCTCTTCCAATCTCCAAAAATAAATAAAATCTTAAAAAAAAAATAATGGTGTATCCATAAGATGGGGTATTTTACAGTTATTTAAAATGTGTTAGTGAAAAATTCTTAACATGGGAAAATAGTTTAACATCTGTTCAAGGTTTTTAAAGAAAGGAAATTGGAGTTCAGATAACCTCTGAGAGGCTTTGAGGTGAGGTAAATTACCAGCCGAAGTTAAAAATGGATGGTGCTCCACTTTGATAGGTCCCTCTAAAGCAGATATCCCAGTTTCAGGCTATTACAATAAGAGTGAATATAAATTCAGGGCTAAATAACATTAGTATGATGAAATTAAGTAATGAAAGCAGGAACCCAAATATAAATATATATAATCTCAATTGTGGTTTTTCTTAAGCATTACTGTCTTTCTTCAAATCTGACACAATATTAAGATGCATCCCAATTTTGGTGGTGCTAAAAATGTAAAAATATAATCATCTTAAAATTTACTGACTATGGTAATTTCTTTGAAATCAGTAGTCTATACCTCCCTCCATCCCCCACTCCTGGCAGCTGGGAAATATAATATACTCACCAGTTACAGCAAATCCTGGTAGCAAAATCTCAGTTTGGAGGTAAATCAAAATCTCGAAATAGGTGTGATAGTGTTGGTTAAACATCACTGCTCTAGGTGATGAAATTGGTAATGATTCCTTTTTCCATTTTAATCATTTCTGTATTTCCAAAATGTTACAATAAACAGTATCTTTTAAGTAGGGAAAAAAGACATTTTAAAAAGGAAATTTTTACCTATCTCTGGAATTCTTTCTGACTTGGCTTCATCAAGCTATGATCTTGCTCCTACCTTTTAAAAAAACCAACTTATTTATTTATAGAGGGGAAGGGAAGAAGAGAGGAAGAGAAACATCAATGTATGGTTGCCTTTCATGCATCCCCTGCTGGGAACTGGTCTGCAACCCAAGCATGTGCCCTGACTGGGAGTTGAACCGTGATTATCTGGTTCGCAGGCCAGCAGTCAATCCACTGAGCTACACCAGCCAGGGCTATTTACTTATTTTTAGAGAGAGGGGAAGGGAAGGAGAAAGAGTGGGAGAGAAATAGCAGTGTGTGGTTGCCTCCCATGCATCCCCCTCCCGGGGACCTGGCCCGAAACCTAGGCATGTGCCCCGACTGGGAATCAGTCTGATGATCCTTTGCTTCACAGGCCCGTGCTCAATCCACTGAGCCACACCAGCCGGGCCTTGCTTCTGTTTTTAATAGGGAAGGCTCTTGTATCTCAGTGGGTGGGTGGGAAATGAGGTACTTGCGGTGCTTGCTCCCTGCGCAAAAAGAACAATGCCGTTTCTCTGGCTAGGTAAGTAAGAAACCTCAGCATCTTCGAAAGACCCAAGAGATTGGACAGACTCTGCAGCAGACCAAGAATGTTATGGTAAGTGTTGATTGATCTTATTCCACCACTGGGCCTCCTGTGAAAATCAAGAATGGAGAATCCTGGGTAGTTAGCCGATGGTGGTACTCAGTGGTGGTAATGAAGGGAGGGAGGTCTCCAAACCTTTGTTAAGAACATCTTATTGGAGCTTAAAATTGGGGTCAGTGGCTTTCCTCACCAGTGCGTCCCTGCTTATTTTATTTCCTGCTTAGTGACTTATTTGATCTAGCCTAATCATCTCCCTTTACAGCAATCATGGGTGCTGGTCTCCAAAGAGCTGGTATCCTTGCTTCACCTATCTCTGTTGTACTTAGAGGAAGATAGAACTACTGTGAATCAGGAGGTAAGCAGCATGTAGATTAAGGCAGAGGCCTCTGGTGGGACTGAAAGCCAAAAGAAGGAACCAGACACATGTCTGATTTTTATTTTGTAGTCTCAGCGTGCAGAAACCTTGGTCTCCTGCTGTTTTGACATGTTGAAGAAATTGAGGGCAAGGCTCCAGAGCCTTAAAACAGAAAGGGAGGAGGCAAAGCACAGAGAGGAAATGGCTCTCAGAAGCAAGGATGCGGTAAGATGTCAGGCTTTTGTTCCTGGATGTGAGTGGTTTCTTCCTCAGGTTCCTGTAGGAACTCAAATTCACTTGAAACAGAGATGGGTGGTCTCAGAATTTCCTGCCCTGGGGAACAACAAATTAACGATGTAGCAGACAGTATGGATTTTTGTGTTGTTTCCCTCTGTCCGCCGGGCGTGCCCTCTAAACCTCTTCCTTAAACAGGCAGAAACAGTGCTAGAGGCTTTCTGTGCACATGCCAGTCAGCGCATCAGCCAGCTGGAACAGGACCTGGCATCCATGGGAGACTTCAGAGGACTCTTGAAGGAAACCCAGACCCAACTGGTAATTTGAGGACATTTTCTTTATTGAGATCCATGCTGATACATGGGAAGATGGTCATTACCTCCCTGTTGCATTCAGAGGAAGGGGGCCCCTTCCATAGGCACTTCTTCTTGTGTAGGTAGGTCTTCATATTAATCAAGAAGAGTTGGCTCAGCAGGCAGTGAGTCTTACTTCAATCTTGCAACAGGATTGGACATCCATGCAACTGGATGTGAGTATTTGGAGCCATTATACCATTCCTTTACTCATAGGCAGCCCCATTGCTTTATGAGTGCTTGACTGACCTGCTTGCTTCTCCTGGTAGTATATAACATGGACAGCTTTGCTGAGCCGGTCTCGACAACTCACAGAAAAACTCACAGCCAAGAGCCGGCAGACCCTACAGGAACGTGATGCTGCAATTGAGGAAAAGCAGCAGGTACAAACCAGGAGTGGCAAGAGCTTAGGCCTGGTTTCCTTCTCCTTCTCTACAGAAGGCCTTTCAAATGAGTGGTATCATTAGCCTCTTACCCTAGACCTGTCTTCTTTCTACCTTGTGGGTTTGGAGACCATCCAGGTCCCTTCCCTGTAAGATGGCTTTCGGCCCAGTTGTTTCCTTTGCCCTTCAGCATCTTCAGCAACTTTTCTCCTGTTTCCACTTTTTCCTGAGGATCAACCTTATTTGCTGCAGTGTTGCTGCCCAGCATCAGGGTAGTTTGCTGTTCTGTCCAGAAAGAGAAACTGGACCAAGTCCTGGGACTCTTGATTCAGGGGGAACTATGGGAGGAAAACTGTCTTTCTTCCTAGGTTTCCAGGGAGCTGGAGCAAGTCTCTACCCAGTTACAGGACTGCAAAGGCCAAATAGAACAATTGGAGTTGGAAAACAATCGCCTGGCAACAGGTGAGTGTGCATGCATGCAAGCAGTTGTGCCCTGCTAAGGTTTGGGGTATGGTGATAGAGCAAGAAAGTGCTCTACAGCACCTGTTTAGAGCACAGGTGTGGGGAGATTCTGGCCTGGTGACCACATGGTGTCATTAGGATACTTTTGGTTTAGATCTCCAGGCTCAGCTGCAGATTTTGGCCAGCATGCAGAGTCAGCTAAAAGAGCTACAGAGTCAGCATGCCCACTGTACCCAGGACCTGGCCACGAAGGATGAGTTGCTCTGCCAGCTTACCCAGAGCAATGAAGAGCAGGCTACTCAGTGAGTTCCTGTCAGGTTATTGTGTCAGTAGGTGCACAAGATATAGGACCAATGGGATCTAATGTCTCTGGCAGATGGAAAAAGGAAGAGATGGCACTAAAACACATGCAAGCAGAGCTGCAGCAACAACATGCTGTCCTGGCCAAGGAGGTGCAGGACCTGAAGGAGACCCTGGAGGTAAGTTGGGCAGGGGAGCTGAGACTCTTACCTGAGGGTACTGAGTTGAGGTTTGAGACTGGACTAGGAAAAGCCCCTGTTCCCAGGCCTCTAACATTTCCCACTTAGATTCATCGCCCCACCCTCACCCCTTTCTCTCTCCTCTCCTTTCTTCCTTCTCCTGTCTCCCCAGTTTGCAGACCAAGAGAATCAGGTAGCTCACTTGGAGCTGGGCCAGGTTGAGTGTCAGTTGAAAACCACACTGGAAGTGCTCCGGGAGCGCAGCCTGCAGTGTGAGGATCTCAAGGACACTGTAGAGAACCTGAAGTAAGATCTCTGCCTTTCTGTGCTTTCCTTCTAAGTGCTTATCTTTCCCAGGAACTCTGTTAGAAGCTAAAGACTCCAGGAATGGAATTGTGATGGGGTCCAAGAGCCTTATTTCCCTCTTTGAATGCAGCTCTGTGTGGGATTTGGGAGAGGAGTTCAAAGAAGGTAACATAATCTCTCTGTTCCTTCCTTATTTCAGGGCTGAACTGGCTAGCACCATAGCAGAGAACGAGGAGAAAGAACTGGAGAAGAGACACCAGTATGCCCGGGAGCTCAGGGTGCTGACTAAGCAACTACAGAGCCTGACCCTCTTCCTACAGACAAAACTAAAGGAGAAGGTAAGGATCTGGGTGTTCCTTCTCTTTCCTTCCAATTGTATCTTCAAACAAAGATGGTTTCATTCCTTTCTTCCCAATCTGTATATCTCGTATTTCCTTTTCTTGTCTTACTGCATTAGTTAGAGCTTTCACTATGATGTTGAAAAGGAGTGATGAGAGGGGGCACTCTTGCTTTGTACCTGATCTTAGAGGGAAAGCTTCAAGTTTCTCACCATTAAGTATGATGTTAGCTGTAGGTGTTTTGTAGATATTCTTTATCAAGTTGAGGGCGTTCTTTTCTATTCCTAGTTTACTGAGATTTTCCCAGTTGTATCTTTATTCAGTAGAATGGTTTTCCTAAAACACTACTCTTTTTAAAGTAATATATTTTATTGATTATGCCATTACAGTTGTCCCATTTCCCCCCTTCATTCCCCTCCACCAGCACACTCCCTCCCACCCACATTCCCCCCCCTTTAGCTCATGTCCATGTGTCATAAGTTCTTTAGCTTCTATATTTCCCATACTATTCTTGCCTTCCCCCTGCCTATTTTCTACCTACCATCTATGCTACTTATTCTCTGTACCTTTTCCCCCCTTCTCCTCCCACTCCCCTATTGCTAACCCTCCATGTGATCTCCATTTCTGTGGTTCTGTTCCTGTTCTAGTTGTTTGCTTAGTTTTCCTTTTTGTTTTAGGTGTGGTTGTTAACTGATTTTGTTGTCCTTTCACTGTTCATCTTTTTTCTCTTCTTTTTCTTAGATAAGTCCCTTTAACATTTCATATAATAAGGGCTTGGTGATGATGAACTCCTTGAACTTGACCTTATCCGAGAAGCGCTTTATCTGCCCTTCCATTCTAAATGAAAGCTTTGCTGAATAGAGCAATCTTGGATGTAGGTCTTTGGATTTCATGACTTGGAATACTTCTTTCCAGCCCCTTCTTGCCTGAAAGGTCTCTTTTGAGAAATCCGCTGACAGTCTGATGGGGACTCCTTTGTAGGTGACTGTCCCCTTAGCTCTTGCTGCTTCTAGTATTCTCTCCTTCATTTTAGTTTTGGCTAAAGTAATTATGATGTGCCTTGGTGTGTTCCTCCTTGGGTCCACCTTCTTTGGGACTGTCTGAGGTTCCTGGACTTCCTGGAAGTCTATTTCCTTTGCCAGATTTGGGAAGTTCTCCTTTATCATTTGTTTAAATAAGTTTTCCACTTGTTGCTCTTCCTCTTCTCCTTCTGGTACCCCTATAATTCGGATGTTGGAATGTTTAAAGATGTCCTGGAGGTTCCTAAGCCTCTCCTTATTTTTTTGGTTTCTTGTTTCTTCATTCTTTTCTGTTTGGTTGTTTCTTTCTTCCCTCTGGTCTACTCCATTGATTTGAGTCCCAGTCTTCTTTCCATCACTCTTGGTTCCCTGTGCATTTTGCTTCATTTCACTTAGTGTAGCCTTCATTTGTTCATCTAATTTGCGACCAAAATCAACCAGTTCTGTGAGCATTTTGATCACCAGTGTTTAGAACTGTGCATCCGATAGGTTGGCTCTCTCTTCGTTATTTAAAAGTATTAGCTGTGGGACTTTGAGCTGTTCTTCCATTTAAGTCATAATTTTTTGGTCTGGTTATACCTGTTACATATGAGGGGCGGAGCCTTAGGTGTTCACCAGGGTGGAGCAACGCAGTTGCTGGGTTGTGACGCTGTATGTGGGAACAATGGCGCTTGGTTTGCTCTCTCCCGGATTTCAGTCCCCTCTGCCACTCCCCACAAGCAAATTGGGCCTTTCTGATGCTGGTTCCCGGGTGGGTGGGCTTGTGTACATTCTAGGACCCTGTGGGTCTCTCCCAACAAATTCTCCTGTGCGGCTGGGAGTCTCTGCCGGCACCTCAACCCCCACAAGTGCTTTTAGTGCTTTTAGGCTTTATTTCCTGTTGCTGGGGCCCTGGGTTGCGTGGTCAGTGTCACTGCCCGTTTTTTGCTTGGTTTATCTGTGCATGAATGTGTGACCACAATTAGCCAATCACTTTGTGCGCCTCACTGGGTCTGCTCGTTTCCTCCCTGCGTCCGTGTCTGCCAACCACCACCTTTCCCTGCTGCAACCCCTCTTTGCCGACTGCCAGCTCTGCCTCTCTTACCGGTTTGAATGAATGGTTGTCAGACTTCTGTACAGTTCAGTTTTCTGTCTGTTCTGGTTGTGTTTTTGTTTCTAAATCTTTGTTGTCCTTATTTTTGGTTGTGTGTGGAGGCACAGTGTTTCCAGTGTTTCCACCCACACCTCCATCTTGGCCAGAAGTCTTAAAACAGTACTCTTGTTCCATCTCTGTGGCTTTCAGTGACCTCTTTGACCTTCACTCAAACATTTCTTACCTTTACATTTTTTTTATTTTTATTTTTTAGAGGAAGGAAGAGAGAAACAAAGAGAGAGACATTGATTTGTTGTTCCACTTATTTATGCATTCTCTTGTATGTGCCCTCACTGGGCATTGAACCTACAACATTGGCATATTAGGATGATGCTCTAACCCAGCAGTCCCCAATACGTTTAGCACCAGGGACTGGTTTTGTGGAAGACAATTTTTCCACAGACCAGGCTGGGGGGAATGGTTTCAGGACAATTCAAGCACATTACATTCAAGCTCACCTCCTGCTGTATGGCCTGGTTCCTAAAAGGCCCAGACTGGTACTGGTCTGCGGCTCAGAGGTTGAAGACCCCTGCTCTAACCAACTGAGCTCCATATCCAGGGCTCAAACTTTTCTTTCATTGTCTCCTATCTCCCTATTATGAACACTTTATTGCAACTAGACTAGGCTGCCTATACACTATACAAATGTCCCATCTCCATTAACACCTTTTCCTTTTCTATTAAAATAGTCTGTAATTCACCTTCTTTGACATGTTCCCAGATCACATGGACTCAGTGATCTCTTGAACTTCTCTTAATTTTTCTTGGATGTCTGGTTTCTGCAACTAGACTGTGTTTAAAAGAAAGCAGAAATTTAGTTTGCTTCTTTGGCTTCTCTGCAGTGCATCCTAAATAATAAATAGTTGATATCTTTCAGAATACAGAGTTAATTAGCTTATACCACCAGGATCCTGAACTATGAAAGTGCTTATGATCTGACCCTCTTCCCTAGTATGTGCTGAGCACAAGAAATGCAAAAGAATCCGTAGTCTTGCATGGAAAACAGGAATGTGTATACTTGTCATTCTGACTTGTGATCATGTTAGAAGTCTGCATGGATGACCACTGCGTGAGCACAGAGAAAGGAGCATCAGTTCTGACTTTGAGAGTTAGGATGTCTTCTCAAAGCAGATGACCCTTGGGCAGACTTAAATCTTAGAAGTTTGTCAGGAGTGAGTGTATAGGAAGGGCCCACAAGGCAGAGGAACAGTATATGAAAGTCATAGAGGCACTGTGCATAATTTTTTTTGTAGTGTCTACCTCATAACAAGGTTTGGATGAGGTGCTGGGACTATAGGTGAACAAGGCAAGGCCCTGCTTATATTGAATGTGGCAGGAAGTTTGGGGACTGGGAAGTAGCTCTTTATAATTAGAATGTAGGCTTTTTTTGTGTGGTGAGGATTACAAGGAGACAAGGCTGGATAAGGAGGCAGGAGGCCAGATTTCGAAGGCCAGAACTAATGGCAATTATAGATGGGGCAGACAGGAGATAGTGGTTTGGATGAATCCGATACATATTTAGGAAGTAGAAGTAGTAGAACCTTGTGACCAACTCGATGTAGGAGTATGGTGGAAGAGTGAATGATGATCTCTAAATTGCTGGAAAGATGGTCACACTCCTAGAACTGGGGTTGGCAAACTTCCTATAACATGAAATGTTATAAATATTTTCAGCTTTGTGAACTATGTGGTCTCTGTCTTAACTACCCAACTTTGCCTTTGAAACTCAAGAGTAGCCATACATAGTATGTAAATGAATGGATATGGCTGTGGTCTAATAAAACTATTTACAAAAACAGGTAGCAGATCAGATTTGAGCTGCTGACAGTAATTAGCTGCCCCCTGCTCTTGGGTCATAAATTCAGGAGGGACAGATTTTTGGTGGAGTGGGACAGGGAAAATGGTGAGCTCAGCTTTATGAACACTAAATTTCAGGTGAAATATGATACATTCTGGTAGATTTTCACAGGCAGTTGAGCCTCTAGGTCTGGAAATTGGGGGAAAAATTCGGTTAAGACAAACAGAAGGAAGGGTTATCCATGTAGAAATGGATATTTTTATGGAGCTCCTGAGGCGAGGCCACCTGGGGAAAGGATTAGAGCAGGAGTATCAAACTCATTTTCACCAGGGGCCACATCAGGCTCGCGGTTGGCTTCTAAGGGCTGAATGTAATTTTATTACCGTATAACTGTAACTACTCCTTAACAGCTTGGCGCTGCCAGGTAGAAACAAGGTGCCAGAAAACAAGGTGGAGGGCCACGGCCTTGTGTTTGCCACCTGTGGATTAGAGGGTAAAGAGGGCCAAGGCTTAACCAGGAGGACCCCAACAGTTAAGGACCTGTGGGTAAAGAGAATAATCAGAAAGGTATAAGGCCTACCTATGAAGGAGAAAGAGTCATGTCCCAGACATTAAGAAAGTTTCTAAAGAACATGGTCATTGATTATCAAATAGGTCAGGTAAAATAAGAGCTGAAAAACGTCCATTGCATTTGAAAGTAAGGATGCCATTGACCCAAATAACAGAATTTTGGTGGATTAGTGTTGCAGAAGCCTTAGTATAGTGGGCTGGAGAGTCAACAGATGGTGAGAATTTTAGGCAAGAAATGGAGGTTTTTCTTTCTTTGTGGTTGAAGGGAAAGAAAAAAGGCTGTAGGTAAAGGGGGATTTAAGGTTAAGAAGAGGTTTTTTTAAAAAATTACTGTTGCTTTAGTGAGAGAAAATTAAGTTCAGGAAAAGGAAATAAGGGAGAAGTTGAAGATAGAGAAGAGAGGTAATAGAACAACATTCTAGAGGAGGTGGCTGGTGAGTATGTTGTGGTTCAGGGAAATCACTAAACCTGAAAAGCAGCTGATGTTTTGTTCTAATTTGCTTTTAGGCTGAGCCGGAGATCCTCCTAAAAAGCACAGCCTGTGTTTCTGCCCAGGAACACTCTCCGCCCTCCAACAGCACCTTCTTGGGAAACATCTTGACAGTAACAGCAGACAAAGGTTAAAGGCCCTTGGGTTTAGGGGTGGGAAAATTGTTACCCTGCTGATATCTTTAGCTGTTAAAGATGCCCACCAACAGACTTATCTCCCAGGCTTCCATTATGGTGGACCTTGACTGGGTCACCAGAGAGGCCCTCTACCATGGTTTGTTTTTGTTTTAGAGTCAGAATCAGTTCCTGTGTCCTTGCTTGGAAGTGACAAGAGTGCTTTCACCCGAGTTGCATCAATGGTTTCCTTTCAGCCTTCAGGTTAGGATGGGTTCCAGGGATTCTGCCTCATTTCTAGATCATGTAGTGATGATAAAGTTAACTAAAGCAGTGAAAAGTGCTTTGCTCTAAAAACCTCAATTCTACTCGGGCTCATTTTATTTTTGTCTTTTGGGACCTGCAGTGTTCCGGACACTCAAATCCTATGGGTAGGGAACATGGATAAGAGTTGTGGAAATAGTGACTACACACTCCTTCCTTCCAGAGCTAGAAGGCTCTACCTCTATGAGGACTTTCTCTTTCAGAGATCCCAGGCATGGAGAAGAGCCTGGAAGAAATGAGTACTACGACTCTGGAGCTTCAGAGCCTATGTTCCCTGCTGCAAGAGTCTAAAGAAGAAGCCGTCAGAGCTCTGCAGCAAAAGATGTGAGTTGAGTACAGTCTTGGTGAGAGAGCCCCTTATGTCAAGGGCCCAGCTCCTGAGAAGACAGGAATAATGCTGAATTCGTTTCTCCCCTAGTTGTGATCTGCAGGCTAGGCTGCAGGCCCAGGAAGAAGAGCATCAGGAAGCCCAGAAGGCAAAGGAAGCAGACATAGAGAAGCTGAACCAGGCCTTGTGCTTGCGCTACAAGGTGAAGGAGGGGCCTAGAAGTGGGGCGATGAAGAACTGGGGCAGCTGTACTGGCCCACTGGGAACCATTGTTTCTTCATCTCTCTAGGAATCAGGGTGTAGGGATTTTCCAACCACTGCCCTAGTTTTGCCCTTCCTGGGGTCAGATATTTTGAATGTTTGGAAATCAGCTATGGGCTGACACATCTCCCAGGCTGACCTAGAAGTCAGGAACTTTAGCAGAGCTCTTTCAACACTGGGTTGTGCCTAGCCTGACTTTAGCCCTAGAGGAAGAAGAGTGTTATCATTTGGTAGCAACCTGGGCTGAGCATGGGTCAGGTACTAAATCCTATCTCCTGGCAAAGGCTACAAAGAAGTCGGCTCTCTCAGTGCCTTCTTACCTCCATTTCCCTCACAGAATGAAAAGGAGCTCCAGGAAGTGATACAGCAGCAGAACGAGAAGATTCTAGAGCAGATTGACAAGAGTGGCGAGCTCATTGTATGTTCATCATGATGCCTGGCCCTCTGCCTTATGTGTCACTGGTAGCCAGGGTCTCATATATGGGAATTGGATCTGCTGGTCTACCTTGTTCATAGCATGGAATAAGTTTGATGGAGAGGACCTTTGAGGGCTACCAAATACCTCTCCATTTTCATCCCCAGAGTCTTAGAGAGGAGGTGACTCAGCTCACTCGCTCACTTCGGCGTGCGGAGACAGAGACGAAGGTGCTCCAAGAGACTCTGGCAGGCCAGCTGGACCCCAACTGTCAGCCCATGGCCACTAACTGGATCCAGGAGAAAGTGTGGCTCTCCCAGGAGGTGACTCAGAGATAACACAGGAGCTGGGCAGCTGGTGGGAACTGTAGGCTGTGCCCAACTGAGCTGAACATATCTCTCTACAGGTAGACAAACTAAGAGTGATGTTCCTGGAGATGAAAAATGAGAAGGCAAAACTCATGGTCAAGTTCCAAAGCCATGTAAGAATTCCCATGCCGTTGGTGGCCAGTTCTCATTACCACTAGCAAGTGCCCTGCCATAGTTTACTTTCCTCACAAGCTAAGTTTACTTTCCTCACAAGCTATACTGTTCTTTTAAGCATATGACTTATGCAACTTATTTGCTTTCTAGAGAAACATCCTGGAAGAGAATCTTCGGCGCTCTGACAAGGAGTTAAAGAAACTAGATGATATTGTTCAGCATATTTATGAGGTAAGGGGGGGGAGGGGCTTGAAATAAGGCACCTGGCATAAGGCCCTGCCCCAGGAAATACTGATGAACATAGCTCTGGTTCACAGACTGCTGGCAGCTGGGTCTGGCTCACCGTTGCAGGCTTCTGTGTGGCTATGGCTTCCGTTTTCTCCCCTCTAATTCACTGGGTGCTTCCTGGGACTGTGACTCTGAGCTGCCTTTTCTGCCTCTCTTCCCAGACTCTGCTGTCCATCCCAGAGGTTGTGAGGGGTTGCAAGGAGCTGCAGGGACTACTGGAATTTCTGAGCTAAGAAACTAAAAGCTGGATCTGTTTTACCCCTCTTTACCTGCAAAATTTTCTTACCCCAACACCAGGACCAATTGGCATAGAGCCAGCTAGGTTTAATGCTATTTAAATAAAGTATATTTAATGTATGTCTTCAGGCTCACTGAATCTTGTTTCTTGGGTGAGAGGGGATGGGTAAGGTCAGGGGAGAAGCAGCTTGGCCCACCCTGCAGCCTGGGGATATGCCACTCACCCCTTCCGCCGCCTCCAGGGCCAAAGTTGGCTGCCTTCCTCCCTTCTCTCCCTTCCCCAAATATGCTGGGCGCTGGACTGCTTGTTCCCTGGCTTACAGCCTGAGGGGTGGGTGTTGGGGACAGACAAGGCTGCATTCTCTTACTTTCTCCATCCCCCTCAGGGTAGGCCCTGGTGAATAAGGGGGTGAGGGCAGAGGAAGTCAGTTTTACTCCCTGTCCTGGACTCTGACATTGTGTTTGTGCCTCTGTGCTGCCTACCCTACCTGTTGTGACTGTTTAGGTAACTCTCCTTCACCAGACCAGGCTTAATTCCCAACATCCAGCACAGTGCTCCAGCACAATGGTAAAGGCAATTGTGGCAGAAATGAGGGCAAGGCCATTTCCTGCCTCTGGGGCCTTGGTGGCAGCGCTCCACGAGGTGGGAGGGGGACAGTCTACAAGAGCCTCCAAGGTCCTGGCAGAGTAGTCACTCCACCTCGTTGCCCCGCCTATGTGGGCGTGGCCTTTAACAAGACACCAGTCCTGGGGAGGGGCGTGGCCTGGGCGGGGAGGTGACAGCCCCGCCCCTTTGGGAGTCACGTAGCTCTGCGGCATCCTCAGCCTCATTTACAGGAGCCCGGGCTGAAGCCACAGCTCTTGCAGGCTAGAAACCGGTCTGTTCATGTGCTGCTGCTGCTAACTCACTGCGTACAGGTGAGACCCGGGCGAGGCGGGAGCTGCTCAGCATCCCTGCTTCCTCTTCCTGACTTCCCCCTGCCATCCTTGCTCTGCCCCTTGGGGACCTTGGATGTGCCTTCTCAGCTCTTCCCTTACATTCTCTCTCTTTTCTGTCCACCCACGGTTCAGACCTCCCACAATACCCCTTCCTCTCAGCGATTAGGCTGGGACCTCAGTTTTTCCAATTCCAAATCTTCCTCTGCCTACTGGGTTTTTTCTTGGGGTCACCCTCTTCCACCAAGACCATTCTTAAAAAAAATAAACATTAAAAAATAATCCTCACCGAGGATGTTTCTTGATTTTAGAGAGAGGAAGAGAGAAAGGGAAACATCGATGTGAGTAAGAAACATCGATTGGTTGCTTCCCAAATGCGCCCCCATTGGGAATCGAACCCACAACCTCTGTATGTGCCCTCAACAGGAATGAAACCTGCAACCTTTTGGTGTACGGGACAACACTCCAGCTAACTGGGCCACCTGGCCGGGGGCCACCAAGACCATTTTAATCTCATTTGCTCCCTCTCCTTGGCTAAGTTTCCTCTATAGTTCTTTTGCTTTTTCTCTAGGTCCTTACCCTGACTGGCTAGCCTTACTATCATCCTGCCTTCTCCTCCTCCATCTCTCTCTCCCTTTCTTAGCCTTTCTACTCATTCCTTTCCTTTTTTTTTTCTTTTCTTTTCAGAGAGAGAGGGGAAAGGAGGGAGGAAGAAAGGGAGAGAAACATTGATGTGTGAGAGAAACATCAATCGGTTGCCTAAGTAGGGACCTGGCCGGCAACCCAGGCATGTGCCTGGACTGGGAATTAAACCAGTAACCTTTTGGTTCGCAGGCCGGCGCTCAACCCACTGAGCCACAGCAGCCAGGGCTCATTCTTTTCCATCTTGATCCTCTGCTCCCATCTCCTGACTGCAGAGGCACTGGGGTATAGAAAGCAGAGGTTATAAAAGCTTGCCACTAATCCCCACTTACCCTCCTGCTCCCAACTTTTTCCTCCACAAGCCAAGAGAAGAAGGGTGATGAGTCCTTTTGCCTCATTCTGAAGGGTTGGAAGTAAGTGCACTTTCCCTAGAGGCTCCGTTAAGGATGAGAAAAAGGCCGTTGAAGGTCAGGGCTTATGCCTACCTGAAGAAGGGGCCAAATTCAGTGAAAGGAGGATTGGCATCTTCATTTGGGCAGTAGTTTCATAGGAAGACCTGTAGCTTCAGGGCTGCTTACCTCCCCACCCCCATGATGCATCTTTCTCCAGGACTGGGAAGGGTGCCCATCACAGACAAAAGGAGATGTGGGAACTGGGGCGCTAAGCCTGCTAGCTGTCAGAGAAATTGGTGCCACTTTGATGCCCAGGACCCATGCCAAGGACTGCTGCCCTGTTCTCAGCTTCATGCTTTTGGGGGCCAGCGGGGAGGGCTGCTTGGACCATATGGCCAAGAGGAAGCAGAGGAGGTAGTGGGTGGGGTGCAGCTTTTATATCTTGTCTCCATTCCACAGAGCTGTCACCATGCCTCATTCATACCCAGCCCTTTCTGCTGAGCAGAAAAAGGAGTTGTCTGACATTGCCCTCCAGATTGTGGCCCCGGGCAAAGGCATCCTGGCCGCGGATGAGTCTGTAGGTAGGTGGGGGCCTGTGTTTGGGTAGAGTAGAGGTAGCCAGGAAGCCCTGGGGATGATCTCCTCACCCATCCTTGTTTGCCCCCAGGCAGCATGGCCAAGCGGCTGAGTCAGATCGGGGTGGAGAACACAGAGGAGAACCGCCGTTTGTATCGCCAGGTCCTGTTCAGCGCTGATGACCGTGTGAAGAAGTGCATTGGGGGTGTCATCTTCTTTCATGAGACACTTTACCAGAAAGATGATAATGGTGTCCCCTTCGTCCGTACCATCCAGGATAAGGGCATTGTCGTTGGCATCAAGGTGCAGCCACTGGCCCTGGATGGGGGTTGAGCGTGGAAATAGATGTGTGTGTGTATGTGAGGGGTGGTAAGGAGAATCCTGTCTGGGTTCAGCCTTCTGCCTGTTTCCCTTTCAGGTTGACAAAGGTGTAGTGCCTCTAGCTGGGACTGATGGAGAAACTACCACTCAAGGTACAGGATGGGTGGGCTTCAGGACCCCAGGGTTGGTGGGTGGTTGATGCTGGCAAAGAGGGGCAGAGTGATGAGACTGGCACTATGCCTGCAGGGCTGGATGGGCTCTCAGAACGCTGTGCCCAGTACAAGAAGGATGGCGCTGACTTCGCCAAGTGGCGCTGTGTCCTGAAAATCAGTGAGCGCACGCCCTCAGCACTTGCCGTTCTGGAGAATGCCAATGTGCTGGCCCGCTATGCCAGCATCTGCCAGCAGGTGTGTGTGCACATGTGAGGGGTTCAGATGGGGGACCTGTGCCTGGTGGCAAGAGAACTTTCTTCCATCCTACCTGCTGCCCCTGCCAAGCTACCTTTCTCTTACCTGCAGAATGGCATTGTGCCTATTGTGGAGCCTGAAATCCTGCCTGATGGAGACCATGACCTCAAACGTTGCCAGTATGTTACGGAGAAGGTGGGTCCACAACCTGGGCACAGACACATACCACAGGGACAGCCTGACGGGAAGCTTGTTCGCCACAGTCTCTGGTTCAGATGCAGGCACTTTCCCCAAGCACTTTTTCACTTGGTCCTAGAACAGACCTGTGAGTGTGAGCCTGTACCAGCCCTCACAGTCATGCCCATGCGGCCACCCCTAGACAGGGAAGCACAGAGCAGTAAGTGTCAAGGACCCAGATCTTAGTGAACCTTCTCTGATCCTCAGGTCCTGGCTGCTGTGTACAAGGCTTTGAGTGACCATCATGTGTACCTGGAAGGGACCCTGCTGAAGCCCAACATGGTGACCCCTGGCCATGCCTGTCCCATTAAGTATAGCCCAGAGGAGGTTGCCATGGCAACTGTCACAGCCCTGCGTCGCACTGTGCCCCCAGCTGTCCCAGGTATCACTGTTTCCAAACCTGCTCCTATCCTTAAGACCCATCCTTAGGTTCTTCTTGTGGCCTTTAAGAGTCCCTTATCCTGGAAAAACAGGGAGTGACTAATCAGGTTTTCTCCTCTCTAGGAGTGACCTTCCTGTCTGGGGGTCAGAGTGAAGAGGAGGCATCGCTGAACCTCAATGCTATCAACCGCTGCCCCCTTCCGAGGCCCTGGGCCCTCACCTTCTCCTATGGGCGTGCCCTGCAGGCCTCTGCACTCAATGCCTGGCGAGGGCAACGAGACAATGCTGAGGCTGCCACTGAGGAGTTCATCAAGCGAGCTGAGGTTGGGAGCTAGGGGTGGTGGTGTGTAGCTAGGTAGGGGTTAGCACCCAGAGACTACAGCCTTTGGCAACTGTGGGCTGGCTTAGCCCGCTTACACCTTCCCTCCCCTCACTTTTGCAGGTGAATGGGCTTGCAGCCCAGGGCAAGTATGAAGGCAGTGGAGAAGATGGTGGAGCGGCAGCACAGTCCCTCTATATTGCCAATCATGCCTACTGAGTAGTCACTCGATTCCACAGCTCTTGGCCTAGCCACCTGCACCCAGTTTTGCCTGTAGTTACTTATAGCCTGGGCCACATAGCCTTGCAGAGCAAAGATGCCTCCATCCAGCACTGAGTCATTTTCCTTTTTCTCCTCTCCTCCCCTCTCCCATTGCTGCACCTGGGACCATTAGATGGGAGGGCAGGGAGCCCCTCATGGCCGAGGGCGGGAGAACTTGCCAGAAGTCAGAGCAGGATGCCCAGGTCTCCCCCTGCCTTTGCCAGCCCCCGCAGTTTCCCCATGATGGGATAGCTTGTCCTTGGGCTCTCCTTGCCTGCCCTTTCTCTTGGGATCAGAGGGTAGGACACTAGACCTGACTTATACTTTGGGTACATAGCACATTGCAAATAAACGATAGCAAAACATGCTACTTTGTCTGTTTTATTCATCAAGTCCCTACCTCCTCGTTTCTGATCTCTGCTGATTTGTCTCCAGGTCCTCTGACTGTGGAGGTGGAGAGGATGGGTTTTGAGTTTCACTGGGCTTTTAAATTCATGGGGGAGAGGCACACCAGTCACCATTCCTATCTCAGGCTCTTGCCTCTTGCTGCCCAAGGCTGGAGTGTGGCAGTATGAAGTACTGCAGGTCTTTCAGTAACTGCTTTCAGTTACAGGCTCTAAGCTGCAGCTGTAGCAGGACAGTGTGGTGCAAGACCTGAGCAATTCCTAAAGGCAGCTTTTGTGCAAGGCCCAAAACTGGGATAGGAGGGGTTGGGAGTCCTCATCTCTCAGCTGTGTTGAGTTCTGCCTGGGCTTGACACATTCTGCTAGAGTGAGCCACTGCAGGAGGAGCACCTGGATTCCTGCCCAAGAAAGGGAAACCCCAAGGCTCGGGAATGCTAGACTGAGCAGCATATCTATCAGGGTATCTATTGCCCATTCCCATTTGGGGTAGATGGGGATGCCAGTTTAAGGATCTAGGCAAGAGCAGTTCTGGTGAGTTCTCATGATGAACTTTGACCACTTGGCTGGGGTGTGGGGGTTAGGGTGAGCACCTGGGTCTATTTGAGCAGATAAAAAGATAAGAAAACCTAGGTGTGAGCTGCAGAGGCCTTGCTGTGTGTAAAACGCACAACCAATGCTACACCAGCTAATTATTGCAATATGGGAATGTAGGCCCAGTGTGAGCTGACTTTATATTAACAAAAATAGCTACTACTTAGACTGTGCTTTCTGTGTGCTCCTGCCAGGCCCTATTCTAATCATTTTATGTTTTTAACTCATTTACTACAACTCTATATAAAGTACGTACTATCCCTATTTTAATATGTGGAAATAGGCACAGAGGGGTTAATTAACTTCTCAAGATCACTCAGGTGGAGGGGTGAAGCCAGGACTTGAACCCAAGTGATCAGAATATAGATTTTGTGCTTACGAACTTTAAGTATTCAGATATTTACAAGTTGGGAATGAATTAACAAAAAATTAAAAGCACTGAATGAGTGCCCTGGTGGCATAGTTCAATTGGTTAAAGTGTTGTCCTGATAAACTGAGGTTGGAGGTTGGATAGGGGGTCAGGGAACACACAAGAATCAACCAATGGCCCTGACTGGCGTGGCTCAGCGGTTGGGTGTTCTCCTGCAACCCAGAGTTGCCATTTGGATTCCTGGTCAGGGCACATGCCTGGGCTGCAGGCCGTTTCAGGTTGGGGGTGTGTGAGTGGTGGCAGATCAATGTTTCTCTTGCACATCAATGCTTCTCTCCCTCTCTTATTACCTCTCTTCCCCTCTATAAATAAACAAACAAATAAAATCAACCAGTGAATAGATAAGTGGAAAAACAAACTGATCTCTCTCAAATCAGTAAGTGAATAAAAATTAAACCTGGCCAGGTGGCTCAGTTGGTTGGAGCAGTGTCAGGTACACCAGAAGGTTGCAGGTTTGATCTCAGGTCAGGGCACATACCTAGATTGCGAGTTCCATCCCGGTGGGAGCATGGATGGGAGGCAACCAACGGATGTTTCTCTCTCTCCCTCTTCTTCTTTCTCTAAACATTAATAAACATATCCTCAGGTGAGGATTTTTTAAAAATACCGAGTGAGTCAAATAGCTAAAAAGGTACTACTAGCTCGCCACCTCCATGTTTGAGGCTTGAGGATAGGGTACCTGGAAGAGAAACTCGATGATAGGAATGATAAGCAATGGTTGTGATAGGTGACATTTGAGTCATTTCCATGTGTCAAGTTCTTTACATGAATGATCTCATTTTATTAAATAGCTCCATCCTTCAGTGAAAAACTGAGACATAGAGCTTCCTGTGGCCACCCAGATCAGTATTTAAATAATACAGTTTGCGGAGCGATGCTCATGATTGGCAGCGGTCGCTACTGTTGTCCCGCCCCCTTGCCGTTTCCGATTGGGGGAAGCTTTTGCAGCTCCGCCCCAGGGCTAGAGTAGTCGGAATCAAGCATGGCGGCTGCAGGGGCTGCAGCTTCAGACCTAGGTAGTGACATTCGGTTTGAGGCGTGAGATTCGCGGGGTGCGAGGGAAGAATGAGGGGGTGGGGATTGTGGTGTGTCAGAGGTCCTGCGGATTAGGGGTTGGGGGTCGTTACAGACAGTATGTCTTTAGGCCCAAACCGGTCGTACGGGGATTCCTACGAGCGCGGGCCGAGAGCCTCCGCTTACGGGTTAAGGGGCCCCTCCGCGTCGTGGGTGGGGCCGGCACCTGCGCCCACTTCCGGCGCCTCACTGTACCCGCGTACCTCCAGAGGTGGTCCGAGGCAAGCGCGCCGCTCTCTTCTTCGCGGCGGTGGCCATCGTGCTGGGGCTGCCGCTCTGGTGGAAGACCACGGAGACCTACCGGGCCCCGTTGCCTTACTCCGAGATCAGTTTGCTGAATTCCCTGCGGGTGAGACCTCGATGGGAGAGGGCTAGGGAACAACCCATCCGTAAGGTACAGACTCACCTGAAAGCCTTGATGCGCCTTGCCGCAGCTCCGGCTCCGGGTGCCTGTCACAGTCGTGTTTACTCGAGATTCACTGGCGTTGGACGATGCAGTGAAGCTGCCCTTCACCGTTGTGTATGAGAGAGAAATCCCTCTGAAATGTGAGTTCCTGGGGGGTGGGATGGGGAGTCAGGGCTGCGTTTTCAGTCTGAGCTCAGTTCAGATATGTGTTGGGTAGGAGTGTAGGTGTCCCATAAAGGTAGTTAAAAACATAAGAAAAGGCCCCTGTGAATGAAACAGTGTGTTTGGTTAGAAGAAAACGTGAAATTCATTGTTCAGCATTAAGGAGGCAGTTTTATTCATAAACATTTATTCTACCTGATCAGAATTAGTTGATGCTCATTAGAGGACAGGGGAGGAAGTAGGATGTAGTAGAAAGAATACAGGATTTGGAATAAAGTTGAACTTGTATAGAGACCTTATTCAGTTTAACATTAAACACTTAAAAAATAAATAAAAATTAAAAAAAAACCACTTCGCTGAGTGTTAGGTACCAGGAATTTGGGGCTGACTGAGAAATTAATAATGATTTTGAGAAATTCATATTCCGATAGGGGAGAAAGACACTTAGATAAAGAAATCGGCTCTGGTTGGTGTGGTTCACTGGATTGAGCTCAGGCTCAATGAGGGGTCACTGAAGGGTCACCAGTTCAATTCCCAGTCAGGGCACATGCCTGGGTTGCAGGCCAGGTCCCCAGTGGGGGCTCCAGAGAGGAAACCACACCTAGGTGTTTCTCTCCCTCTCTTTCTCTTCCTCTTCCTTCCTTCCCCTCTCTAAAAAAATAAGTAAATAAAATCTTAAAAAAAAAAGAAATCACAGAAATGTATAAGAAAAAGATTGCGGTTAAGAAAGCCTTTAGCTCTCTAGTAGGAAAGAAAGGCAGAGAAGGTTTGAGGGGATGTAATTTTTAAGTTGGATTTTTAACGGATGTGTAGGATTTCAGTTTAAATAGGGAGGTGAGAGGGAATAGTGTGAGCCAGTAATAATAGCTGTTATTAGTCGTTGTTCACTATATGCTAAAAACTAGGTGAAGCACTTTACATGTGCTGTCTTGTTTCATCCCCTCTTACATTATGATCTCCACTTTGTAAATGAAAACAAAACAGAACAGACTTAGAGATTTTAATTTGTACAAGATCACACAGCTAGCTAGTAAGAGGTAGGATTAGTTTTAAACCCAGGCCTGACTGATTCCAGTGTTAAAGCTTTTCACCAACAAACTGTGCTGGCTGCCTCCTGCATAAAAGCATGAAGGGGTAAATTAGCATGTTGTGGGGGACGGTCTGTGAGCAGCTTTACCTTTCCAGTGTGGAGCGAAAGACTGGGAGTGAAGGGAGATGGAGGCTGAGTCCAGACCAGGAAGTGCCTATGTGCCATTTACTTTCTAGCTCTTTAACCTGGGTCACACATATAAAAATAAATCATATTTCATGTGGTTCAACCTAATGTACACACACATACTTTTTCTTTCTCAAAACAAAAATTGGATTATATCTCACATGTTAGATTGCACCTTGATTATTGTCAGTTTCTTATGGACTTCTTCCTAGTTAGTGACATAGTATTCAATAATAGTGGAATGGCAAGGAATATGGAATTTTGGTTTAAGAGGGCAGGACTAAATCCTTGGTCCTGCCACTTATTTGTGTGTATTTGGGTGAGGTTAACCTCTCTAAACCTTGGTTTTCTCATCTGTTTAATAGTGATGGAAATGGGGTTGTTCATCTGTTCAACAGATATTTATTGAGTACCTACATCAGGTATTTTTGTGGTTGCTAGAGATATAGCAGTGAACAAAATAGACAAAAAAGAGGAGACAATTAAAAAGATAAACAAGTGAAATGTATGTTAAAGGGTGATAGGACCGAAATAGAGTTGGGTAATGAGATAGGGAGGGTTTTTTTGAGGGGGACGGGAGGTCATGTCTGTTTTAGATAGGGCGCCCAGGGGAGGCATCATTTGAAAACAGGCTATTTGAGTAGGGACCTAAAAGATAAAGAGATGAAGGAGGAAATTGTGTAGGTATCTGGGAGAAGAGCATTTTGGCAGAGGGCGAAGCAAGCGTAAGGTTCTGAGGTAGGAGCAGGGGCAGTGCCTTTCTTTGCAGAACAGTAAGCATCCCACCGTGGCAAGAATGAGGTGAATGAGGGACAGTGTAAGGGGAAATAAAATACAACTAGAGTGGCAAGAGGGGGTCAGACTCACATACAGCTTTTATTCTGGATGAAGGTTTTTTTTTTTTTAAAGATGTTATTTGTTTTTAGAGAAAGGGGAAGGGAGGGAGAAGGAGGGAGGGAAACATTAATCGGTTGCCTCTTGCACACGTCCCACCTGGGGACAGAACCTGCAACTCAGGCTTGGGCCCTGACTGGGAATTGAACTGGTGACCTTTGGGTTTGCAGGGTGATACCCAACCAACTGAGCCACACCAGCCAGGGACAAAGTGATGTTTTTTAAACCCTATCATTTTTCTGCATATGTCGCCTGGAATTCTATAAAGAACTTTCTCAAAAAATGTGGGTTCTATTTGTCAAGTTCCAGGGGCCAAAAAACAATCACTTTGAGATTGTCTTACAGGTATAGATTAACTTGGGGAGAATTGACATACTTAGAATATTTAATCTTTTCATGTAAGAGCCTTGTATGTGCTTTCCATTTTATCAGGTTTTTTATGTCCTTCAGTAAAGTCTCAGGTTTTTCTTACAATTTTTGTACATTCATTCCTGGGTATCTTTATGTTTTTTATAGTTATTGCAGTTGGAATTTTTAAACATACCTGCTTTTCTAATTAGATATTGCTGGCATTTATCAGAAAGTCACTGATTCTTGTTTATTCTTGTATCTAGTCGTCTCACCAAACTGTCACTAGTTCTAATAGTTTTTCAGTGGATTCGCTTGGAAAATAATTATACTACTTCAAAAAGTGGCCATTTTCCTGGCTGATGTGGCTCAGTGGATTGAGCGCTGGCCTGTGAACCAAAGGGTCACTGGTTCTATTTCCAGTCAGGGCACATGCCTGGGTTGTGGGCCAGGGCCCCAGTGGGGGTGCGTGGAAGGCAACCACACCTTGATGTTTCTCTTTCTCTCTTTCTCCCTCCCTTCCTTTCTGTCTAAAAATAAGTAAATAAAATCTTTAAAGAAAAAAAAAACGACAAAAATGGCAGTTTTGTCTGTTTCTTTCAAATATTCATACTTCTCTTTTAAAAAATTTTTTAAAAGATTTTATTTATTTTTTAGAGAGAGGGGAAAGTAGGGAGAAAGAGAGGGAGAGAAACATCAGTGTGTGGTTGCCTGTCATGTGACCCCCACTAGGGAACTGGCCTGCAACCCAGGCATATGCTCTGACTGGAAATCGAACCGGTGATGCTTTGGTTCACAGCCCGTGCTCACTCCACTGAGCTACACCAGCCAGGTATTTCTCGTTTTTAAAAAAAAAATTATTTTTAGAGAGGAGAAGGGAGGGAGAAGGAGGGAGAGAAACATCAATGTGTGGTTTCCTCTTGCACACCCCATACTGTAGATCTGGCCTGCAACCTAGGCATGTGTCCTGACTAGGAATCGAACAGGTGACCCTTTGGTTTGCAGACTGGCACTCAATCCACTGAGCCACGTCAGGGCTGTTTCTCTTTCTTGTTACATTGGTCAGGAACTTCAGAAAGAACAATGCTGAATAATAGAGGAACTAGCAGGCATCTTGCTTTATTTACTAATTTTAGCGGAACTTTATTTAGTGTTTTCCATTAACTGTGTTGTTTGTTTTTATCCAGAATGTTCACTGAATTTAATTACTTTGGGGCACTTATTAGAGTGGTCATATGGTTTTTCTCCTTTCACCTGTTCATGTAATGAATATTGTAAAAGATCTCCCTGTGGGAGAGGACCTCAGGACGAAGGTAGAGTGTACACAGGCCGATGGAAGAGGTGGAGTGTCATGTGTTTGACGCCATCCGTGCAAAAATCGTTAGAATTGCTCTGACACTTGCTCTTCCCATCATGCTGCTTCCATTTCTCCTCAGACAAAATGAAAATTAAGTGCCGTTTTCAGAAGGACTATCGGATGGCTTTGGACCATGAGGAAGAGGCCCTGTCCTTGAGCAGTGTGCAAGGTACTGGAAGGGGAGATCACACCAGTTAACATGAAGGCCTGTATTCCCTTCTGATCCCTAAAGGTGTCGTTTTCATACCTTGTCTTAACTCCAAAATCTCTCTGGGAAAGCTCTGTATGACATGCATTGCAGCTTGGGCCACTGAGGGCCAAGCCTGCCTGCAGTGTCAGCTGGCTGTCAGTGGGAGGTGGAGGGGTGGCTTAGGCACTCTGTGGGGGCCAGAGGGGGGGGGAATGGCGTTTTTGCTCCTGGTACACCACCTGCTCTTGTCCCCAGAGGCAGAAGCTGTGTTAACCAAGTCGCAGGAGCAAGTAGTGGGCTCCCTGAATGTGTACGTGATCTCTGAACGCGCCTCACTCCTCCCCCAGGTAGGGTGAGCAGAGAGGCCGTGGCCTTGCCTGACCCCGTCAGCTCCTCCTCTCCCTGGTCACTCCTCGTAGTGTTGCCGCCTGTATCTTCCATTGGCCATGGGAAACTCTCCAAATGTATTTTGTAAAGAATGCAAGTACGAATTTTTTCATTGACTTTGGTTTTTGAAATCTAAGACTTGTATATGGTGACAGTTCCAATAACCATTTACAGTGGAAAATAAATGAGTAGGAATACAAGAAAGAAGCAGGTTTCAGTGGGCAGTGATGGTAACACGGGCAATACATTGAACTTCTCATGAACCACTGGCTTGATGGAAGCTGTGCTGTGCACCATTTTCTTTATGACTATATAATGAAATGTTTCATTCCTATAAAAAGAGGGAAGAATTTTAATGAATTATCTAAGTATCCAGCCTCAGCTTATAATATTAAAGCGATATGGTTGGAGCCCCATGTGTCTCCATGGTTACAGGCCACTTAAGTTTTATCATTTGTTGTACTTCTATAAATAGCACCTTTAATTTTACATATTTTGACCCTTATATAAATCGCATAATACAGCACATATTCTGCAACTTTCAGTTTGCTCAACATTTATACTCGAGAGAATCATCCGTGATAATATGTGTAGCTTCATTTTTAAGTCTGCCCAATGTTTCGTTGTAGTTTATCACAGTTTATCCATTCTGTTGTTGGACATTTGGATTGTCTCCAGTTTTTTTATTACAAATAATGCTGCTGGGAGAATTCTTGTACTTGCGGCTTTGCCGTGTGCCATTTCCCTAGATCAGACCGTCTGTTTGTTTATTTTGCTTTTCTTGTTCAGCATGCCATCTCTTAGTTCCAGCCTATGAAGATTTGATACTTCTGGAACCGTGTCTCCTGGGAATGAGGAGGGGACTGAAACGAAGGAAGATGCTCATATATACCCATAGCTCAGAAATACCGAGATAACAGTTACTATGAATCTAAAGAGGTGCATGCCTGTCGGTCCGTGGCACAAGGCCAGATTCGCAGAGGCAGGAGCCAGAGTGCTCTTCTGCCTTCTTCTCTGAGCCGCGGGCATTCTGTTCCTTGCTTGCCCCTCCTAGGACATGATGAGCTACATTGGGCCTAACAGGACAGCATTCATGAGGGGAATAATACACCGGCAGGCTTTTAACATCATTGGGCGCCGCATAGTCCAGATAGCCCAGGCCATGTCTTTGAATGAGGATGTGCTTGCTGCAGCCCTGGCTGACCACCTTCCGGAGGACAAGTGGAGCTCCGATAAGAGGCGGCCTCTCAAGTCCAGCTTGGGTAGAGTGACCGGGCTTCACTACAGGAAGGGAGAGGGAAGTGAATTATGTGGAGGCATTGGGGCAGGAGGGGAATCTGCATGCCATCTCTTTACTTCTTCTGTAGTTTCAACTTTTTCTTAAAGCGCCCAGTGTTCCTCACCCCAGTTTTATCCTCCCATCGATTCTGTGATGACAGTGCCATTGCAGAGCAGAAACGCGTTCAGCTCAGCCAGGGGTACAGGCTGCCCCTCATCCACTGAAGCCCCTGGATTTCCTGACTCCTGTTTCCCTAGGCTATGAGATCACCTTCAGTTTACTCAACCCAGACCCCAAGTCCCACGACGTGCACTGGGACATCGAGGGAGCCGTCCGGCGCTACGTGCAGCCCTTTCTGAATGCCCTCAGTGCTGCCGGCAACTTCTCTGTGGACTCTCAGGTGAGGCTGGAGCAGGCGGAAGAGTCCTTTTCCTGGCTGCACCGTGCTTTTCAAAGTCCATCCATGTTTAGTGTTCACAGGTGTAGTCTGTTCTTTTAGCTCTTTGGGCTTGTTGACTGGCTAGGAATTTCCTTTGTGTGTGACTCTGGCGTCTGCTTCCCCTCCTTGCGAGCATCTCAGGGAGTTTCATCCATGCTTGTCTAAAAACTAACTTCCTTGTGGCTCCCTCCAGAGCCGTATTTACCAGTTGTGCTGTCCTAACAACAGCAAAAAAACTTCCTGAACTGTGCTAATGTAGTAGCAATAAAGATGAGAAGAATGTAGCTTTCTGTGTAATACAGTGAGGGAAAATGTGGGGGAAATTTCTGTCAGGTCTTGGTAGTGGGAGGAAGTACTTCTGAATGACCGACTTGATTTGAACCAAATTCTGTTTGATCTGAATGCTGTTATTCTTTGTTTAGGCTGTGAGAACGGCTGGTAAACTGTGGTTTTCAAAGAACGTATTTAGCGTTCTAACCTTACCCTTGGCTTTGTTATTTTTTCCTGCACCTGTTTTCTCTCGGCCCTGATTTGGTCTATTACATTTCGTCCTGTTATGGTTTTATCTTTGTAAGCCTCCTCAAATCTTTTTTGGAACAGAGTGGACTCGTAAGTCAATAAACAAAGTAACATCCTCTTTGCTCTCTAGATCCTTTACTATGCGGCGTTGGGGGTGAACCCCCGCTTCGACCCAGCTTCCTCCGCTTACTACTTGGCCGCACACAACCTCCCCCATGTCATCAACCCAGTGGAGTCCCGCCTAGGTGAGCTCCTGAGGTCGGGGGTCTTTCTGCTGGGTCAGGGAGGGACCCAGAAGGCTCAGCCTGCGCTCATAGGCAGGTTGTATACAGCGATGGTCCCCAGGTTGGGTTGGTCTGAGGACGTCGGGGGAGTGTTGGGCGTTTAGGCTACTTTATCGCGATACTCCCTCTCCACATCACCATATCCAAAAGCATTTATTAAACACGTTTCCAGCACTTTTTATAAATGAACAGATAGTGTATGTCTCCCTCCCTGCAAACCACCCAGGAAAAAATAGGTTACACGTGTAGGAAAGATAACAGCAAAAGTACATGGAGGCAGAATGGGGAACCTTGAAACTAGGATTCCAGTTTCTCATTTTGGGGGTGTACCTAGGAAAAGTAGGTGTCACCAAGAACTGCAGAACAGGAAAACGAAAATGAGTGTATCACTAGTTGTGAAATTTAAGACATCAGAGCTAGGGCCTGGGGCAGAACAGGAGGTCTTGGCAAATTCCACCCTGTCTTTTCAGCCAAGTATGAGGGACTGCTTTATAGCAGTGCTGTGTACAGAGATAGATTTCAGGCAAGGGAACTGTGAGCTTAGATGTGGAAGAGTAAGAGCACATAGACCTTCAGGAAGCTCAGAGAAGTTTACTGTGGCTGAATTGCGAGAGGGTGACCAAGACGATGTTGGCGAGGCAGGCAGCAGGCATCAGATCATAGAGGACCGCATGGAGGAGTTTGAACTTTAACTTGGTGTGAATGGCTAGCCATGGAAGGATGCTAAGCAGGGAACAGACATGAGGTCACGTTTCTACTTGTGCATAAAATGAGTTACAATAATACGGGTGAGTGGCCAGAGTCCCGAGAGCTGACTTAGACAGTTAAGGGAGGGAGGTCTGTTGGGGGAGGGGAGATTCCAGGGGCATTTTGGGGCTAAGGACTGCACTTCACGTACGTGGTACATCTTGGGGGGAGAATGTTCAGAGGGTCTTTGCCACAGAAGCAGTTTTCATTTGGGAAAAATGAAGCCCAGAGTCAGTGACCCTATGTTAGAGGCTGACCTAGAACTGAGATCTAGGTCCGACTGGTTTACTGTTCTGACTGCCCTTCTCTCTGTGCCGCAGGATCCAGTGCCGCCTCCCTTTACCCTGTGCTCAACTTCCTACTCTATGTGCCCGAGCTTGCCCACGCCCCCTTGTACATTCAGGACAAGGATGGGGCTCCGGTGGCCACCAACGCCTTCCACAGTCCCCGCTGGGGTGGCATTATGGTAATGTTCACATTATGCAGACCCCAGAGCCCAAGCTTCAGGGGCACACAGACGTTCCCTGAGATGGTTCTTCTCTTGTTCCTCTGGTGTCGCCCACGGCCCAGCCGTGGAGGGCAGGCACCGAGGAGGTGAGGGGACTGTGAGCCCGTGCCCCTCCTCTGCCAGCCCCTGCTGCTTTTTATTAGGTCAATATTTTCTAAAATATGAATGACCGATTTATTTATTTTTAGACAGAGGGGAAGGGAGGAAGAGAAACATCAATGTGTAGTTGCCTCACACACCCCCTACTGGGGACCTAGCCCGCAATCCAGGCATGTGACCTGACTGGGAATCGAACTGGTGACCCTTTGCTTCGCAGGGCAGTGCTCAAGCCACTGAGCCGTACCAGCCAGGGCTAAAGTGTGTCCTTTTTGTGTGTAGCAGTTTGTACTTACTGAGGTCTCTTCAGTGTACATCTTAGATCTTGGACCTATTTGTGGGTATCTTGCAGAATTGGGAACTTTAGCTCTTCTGTTAGACTGGGAGTTTTTCTAAAATGGAATAAAAATTACCTTTTTTATAGGATTTTTGAGGGGGTCATGAAGATAATTTATGGAAAGCTCCTAATAGATATTCAAAAAATATTAGCCGACCCATCAGGTTTGTAATTTCTGGAGAGCAGAGACCGTGTCTGCCTTTTCTCTCACGGTCACCAGAGTGTCTAGGGCACAGCTGTGCACGGTCCCGGTGTGACGTGGGGCAACCTCATCCCCCGTGCAGGTGTACAATGTGGACCCGAAAGCCTACAATGCCTCGGAGCTGCCCGTGCGAGTTGAGGTGGACATGGAGCGAGTGATGGAGGTGTTCCTGGCTCAGCTGCGGTGAGGTCCTGGGGGGATCCACGTGGGACATGGCCCCTGACTGACCACAGCCTCCTGGGCGGACTCCAGTAAAATCTCACCTGGCAGGGTTGCCTCAGCTGTGCCTAGAGCCCCAGGAAACCAAGAAAGGTTTCCAAGGACCACTTGGGTTTTCTCCTAAGAAGAACTAGTTGCCGACAAAAACATTTAAGAAAAAATAGACTCATGAATTGTCAGGTCCCTGGGATGTGATTAGGGGTGTGTAAGAAAAATGGCTATTACTTCTTTTGCCAACTGATCTGTTGATAGTGGCTGCTTGATGCCCTATGTTAAAGATCCTTTGGGCTGATTAGGAAAGAGGATCCTGATTGATGAGCAGTGTCTGCCGTGGGTGCAGGAATGGAGAGGCACAGCACACGCATCTTGTAAGAGGTGGTCCTGGATCATCCCTTCATGAAGGCTTGGTGGCCCCATTTGTCCAAAGACAGGGTAGATAGGGCGAGAGGATTAAACTAAGTTGGTGTTATCAGAAATATTATAGTCATGGAACCTTTCGTCATATAAGATCTTGGAAGTCCAATATAAAACGGAAAAGCTAAAGCACAGGTAAACCAGGGTTTGGGGCACTGGGTTGGTCAGTGTTGCCACTCGCCTCCCAAGAAGACCTGAGGCCCTTCCCTTCAGCTCCTGTGGGTCTGGGTAAGGTTAAAAATCTGTCATTCTAGGAATCTCAGCCATCTTCTCCCACATTCTAGTCTCAGCCCCTTTGACACTCTTTGCTGTTCCTACAGGCTGCTCTTCGGGATTTCTCAGCCCAAGTTGCCTCCAAAATGCCTGTTTTCAGGGCCTAAGAGCGAAGGGCTAATGACTTGGGAGGTAGATCGGCTGCTGTGGGCTCGGTCAGTGGAGAACCTGGCCACAGCCACCACCACTCTCACTTCCCTGGCCCAGCTTCTGGGCAAGATCAGCAACATTGTCATTAAGGACAATGTGGCATCCGAGGTAAGCGGGCGGGGAATGGATTCAGTGGCCCAGGATTGCAGTGGCCACTAAGGGTCAGGGTGTGGGGAGAGTAGAGCCAGCTGGGGTCTAGGGTGTGTGTGGGCATGCCAGCCTTGAGTGCCTCGGGCTTCCTCCAGAGGGCAGTGCCAGCCCCCAGCAGGAGTGCAGATGGGGGGATGTAAGGTTTTAAGGCGGCACTAAGAAAGTACACCACAGCCCTTTTATACTAGCCTCCCTATAACCTGGGCAAACTCCAGGTAACCTGTCTGGTGGGTGGAAGGAACAGTGAAGCTTGTCACCCCCACCCTCTTCATCAGTGCCTAGGACTCACTGGTCACTCCCTGCCCCCTTCCTAGGTGTACAGGGCTGTAGATGCGGTCTATGAGTCAGCATTGGAGTTGACCTCCGGGCACCTGGCCTCTGCCTTCGTCGCCAGCCGGGAAGCTGTGACATCTTCGGAGCGTGCCTTTTTTGATCCCTCACTGCTCCACCTCCTCTATTTCCCCGATGATCAGAAGTTTGCCATCTACATCCCGCTGTTCCTGCCTATGGCTGTGCCCATCGTCATCTCTCTGGTCAAGATCTTCCTGGAGATCCACGAGTCCTGGAAAAAGCCTGTGAGGATAGACTGAGCAGGGCAGCGTCTCAGTAGGAAGCCTTCCCTTCTGGCCAGGGCGGGAGATGCTAGATTGAGAGGCACATCAACGGGGCCTGCCGTGAATGACCTATGTCCAGCCACCAAGTGTAATAATCCATTCTTCTGGCTCAGATGTCCCACCCCCATCCTCAAGAGATGTGTCATCTTGGTCTCCTTCTTTGGCTGAACTAGAAGGCCCTTTACCTCTGGGGCAGAGGCAGCTTGTGCTTCTGCCCTGTTCCTCAGCCCTTTTGCACTGGGAGGGGACATCAGGGGAAAGCCCGGATGGTTTTCTAGCCCCTTCCTCTCCATGCTTCTTTCTGTCCCTCAGAGAGAGCCCAGCACTGCTCTCGTGGAAGGGCCAGGCACAGGTCACCTCTGGGGGTGCCTCCCGTGCTCCCCTCCCTCCTGGCTGCTTACACCTGTTGAGTACAGCCTTGTGCTGTGTATGGCAGAGGTTCCCTTCACCCTTTCATAGAGGCTTAGGATCAAACATGCCTGAATTCAAACCCTGGCTTCTGCACTTACCATCTGGGGGGCTCTGAATAAGCTACTTAATCTCCCTGAGCCTCAGTTTTTCATATGTTGAACACCAGTGATACCTCCCTTACCAGGTGGTTGTGAGGATTAAATGTGATACGCATTTGAAAGTGGCATATTCTAGGCTCTCAATAAATATTGACTGAATTGGAATGACATGAAGTGTGAGCAGAACTTTGGTTCATTCATGTGTAAGTAATGGTCCCCTAGTATCTGTCCTGGACTCACGGGCCACCGTGCTTCTGACTGGCCATGTGACCTCCTGCCTCCCTGTCCTGGGGGGCCTGTGGTGGCTTAGACAACTAGGCAGTTGTCCCTTGGCATGTCCTGGTTTGCCCAGCAAGGCTGTTCACATCTACTTCTGCTTTTTAGCTGGGGGTCTGGGAGAGAATGGCTTGTACCAGTGTAAGACCTCAGAAACTAACTCATTGATGAATTCAAGAAAAGAATGTATTGCCCTGGCCAGGTAGCTCAGTTGGTTAGAGCATCATCTCCCATATGCCAGAGTTGCAGGTTGGGTCCCTGGGCAGGGTACAAACAAGAATCAACCCATGAATGCATAAATAAGTGGAACAACAAATTGATGTTTCTTTCTCCCTTCCTCCCTAAAAATCAACCTAAACAAAGTATATTGAGCATTGGTACCGTGCCACGTGGTGAGTTGTAGAGAGCAAAGGCAGGATCCCGGCTTTCCCAGAACTGTTGTTTTAGAGGGAAGAGTCCATGAACAAGTGAAACATTTTGGATAATGCACTAGAAAGAAAAACAAGGCTGGTCAGGTACTGACTGGTCTAACACCAGTACTTTGGATTAAGTGCGAGAGCCTTTGAGCTGAGACCGGGACAAGAGGCCAGCTTGGGGGAAAAGTATCCCAGGCCAAGATCCTGAGATGGTAACTCACTTTCTGGGCGGAGGGAAGGGCAGAGGGGTGGGGCACAGGAAAGGTAGCCAGGACCCCTAGAAGAAAATGAGTGAAACCCAGGGCGAGCCCCCACCTTGCCCTGGGGGAGAGCCGGGTCTGCGCGTCCCCATCCTTTCAGTTGGGTGGGCGGGCCCAGGGGCGGGGCGGGGCGGTACCTGAGGCCCTGGCGGGGGTGGGGCAGCAGACTCCCCCTGCTTCGCTCCAGCCAGCGCAGGCAGCTACAGCGGCAGCAGGCAAGCGGCGGCCCCACGAGGCCATGAAGGTGAAGCAAGGCTGCAGCGGGGCCGGAACGGGGGCGGAGTCCGCTCCAGGGGCCTCCGGCCTGACCGTGGAGCTAAAGCCAGAGCCGCAGCCTCAGGCGGAATCCGAATCCGGGTCCGAGTCGGAACCGGAGGTAGGCCCAGGGCCCAGGCCGGGGCCGCTGCAGAGGAGGCAGCCGATCGGGCCAGAGGACGTGCTGGGGCTTCAGCGGATCACGGGCGGTGAGCACCGGCTAGGGAGCGCGCCTGCGGGAAGGAGGGGGCCCTCGCGAACCCCGGCCCCCGCCCCCTTTCCCGCCTTACCCTTGCCTCGCCTCCCCCACCGGGTACCCCTCGCCTGAGTCCCGTACCCTTCTGCCGCTGAGCCTGATTATCTCCATGTCCCCCCTTTCCCTGATCTCCTGTGCTCTCTCCTCTCCCTTTAGAGACTTATTTCCACCCCAGTCCTTTTTTTTTTGAGGAGTCCAGCCCCCTTTCCCGTGGCGGAGGTGGGGCAGCAGCTGCAACTGTAAACCCTTCCCTAGCAGGTTTTTAGAGCCCTTTGAGTCTTTCCTCTGCAGTAATGAGGAGGGAGGCCGAGTGTAAGCTGTCCTCGGTCCCCAGCCTGTAGGCTAGGTAGAGGCTGAGTTACTTAGGTGACATGAAGACCCTCAGGTCTCCCTGACCGTTAATGCCCTCACTCTGGGTCCCCTAGGAAGTCTGGGGCCATCTCCCTCCCCAGGAAAGGACCTGAGGAGGAAGCTTCAGTAGGTTGGGCCTGGGCCCTCCAAAGGGAGTAGGTTACCACCCACCTTAGCCTGGACCAGGCCCAGTCCCCTGCTTGGGGGCCTAGAGGTCTTCACGGTGATTGAGTTTCTGAGTTGGACTGCCTGGGTTGTCCCAGCTGTGCCATGTAACTTACTGTGTGACCTTGGGCAAGTAACCTCACCTCTCTGAGCATGTTCATCTGTAAAATGGGGATAACGGCATGTACCTTATAGGGCCACTGTGAAAATAAATTCTCTGATTTTGCACCAGTGCCTGGCGTGCTGTGCAATCTTGGTGACAGGGCTCTTTTGTGAGTAGTACTGAGGGCCCCACAGGACTGCTCCTGGTTGCTGCCTGGAAGCAGACAACTGGGCATTCAGAGCAGCAGAGGGGGGTCGCCATAGGCAGGGAACGAGGGCTAGGAAGCCTCGTGGCAGAAGTGGTAGCTGAGCCTCAAAGAACAGAAGAAGGCATTTGGAAAGGCAGTTACTGCCTTTCGCTTTGGCCTCATTCATCAGTGACCCTGCCCTGGCTCCCTCTATGAGCAACTCAGGGCCTCTTTGTGGAGGTGCAAGTGCTGGAGTGGCCCTGAGCTCTGGAGCTGTAGGAGCAGCAGGGCCCAGGGCTGCCAGACAGAGCTGACGAGGGGACCATGACGGCAGGTCTGGGCCTGTACATCTGGGTCCCTAGGGGACCAGCTTCTCCTTCCTCTCTGAGCTAGGCAGCAGCCATTCTTGGCTGGGCCTCCAGAGTGCTGAACTGCCTTGCTCAAGTAGACACTGGTAGTGAGAGGGGGCCTGGACCAGTCTGATGTTGGAGCCAGTTGGGCTATAATTGGCAAAAGCAGCATTTGGGATCCAGGTTAGCTCTGGGGCAGAACTGCCTTATAGGATGTCGGGAGGTCAGGCTGACCTGTCCAGGTCCTAGGTAACTTTAGAGGTTATTTTGCACCTACTGGGAGGGAGGGGTGTTCAATCCACACACCACCATTGTCTCCTAACTTGGAGGAAATTCATAGCCCTTAAGCTGAGGCATCTGTGGGGGATGAGTAGAGGAAGGAGCTTATAGAGGAAGCTCTTTCCTCTATAGAAGTTGAGGACAGGGTATGAGGGCTTGCCATCCTGGCACCTCCTGGTTTCTTCTGACCCTAATCACATAGGTTAGAGGTTTGCTCCACCTGGATTACTGGTCCCTGAATCCAGCTTAGGAAGCTATTTGTGGCTGACGGGGAGGGAGTGGCTGTGGTGTCCTGAGCCATTGGCATCCCCTGTCCCTCACCTCCACTAAGGACCCAGGGGTTGATAGGTTGAGTTGCAGTAGGAGAGACCGAGATCAGACTGCAGGAAGTTCCCAAATGAGAGGAGAAGCTCCAAAAGTTGGAGACTAGAGGAAGGGGATGTTTTACATGGAGCTGGGATCCTGTTCCCAGTTTTGCTGCCTCCCCTTCCTGTGCCCAGCACCTTCTGTCTACGTCTCTGGACTAGTGCTCACTTTCTGTGAAAATAAGGTGTGTACAGCGTGAGATGGGACTGCCCATTCCTATTTCCTCCCGCCTTCTCCCCAGCACGGGCTGTAGCGGACAGGCCCAGGCCCCTTCCCAAGCCCGGTGTCGTTTCTGCCGGATGCCATGGTGCTCGGCGGCTGCCAGGAGGGCTTCGTGGAGGGTGCTGCCCCAGGCTTGGGAAAGAGCGAATGACTTTACATTTACTTCCTCTTCCTGCCCCAGAGGAATAGGAGGTGGCCCAGGGGCCTGGGGTGGCGGGGCGATTTCCTGGCTTCTGTGGGGAGGATGTGCTGTACAGGCCGACAGCACCAGAGTCCCTCGCTGCCCCTCGCTGCCCCTTCCTATTTGTCTCCAGGGCCTCAGGAGCACTTGCAGTTGCTGTGAGTGGTGAGGGCTGGATCAGGCCCTGGTATTCCTGAGCTTCCTCAGGCGGGGCCACCCCTGTTTCTGGTTCCTCTTTTGAATACTGAGGACTCCCCTTACCCCCATGCACAGCCTCTGCTGCACCTGCCACACCCTCTTCCTGTCCTCCCCCCACCCACTCTTCTCTCTGGGAGTGGCTGAGAGCCAAGGCTGGCTAAGTGACCTTTGAAGGGGTTCCCTCTGTTTGCTAAGACTTCCTCCTGTTTGGAGATCTACATGGGAGGGGGGGCAAAGATGGCTCCCTTCCCCCAGTACTCCAGGCTCTGGATTTGAGTCAGCAGAGCTTTGGCTAAGCTGCTTAGGGGAGCCAGGCTTGTATAAGCTGCTTATGGGGCTAAGAGGTGATGGGGGAGGGGTGGGGGCAGGGTTGAGGAAGAACAGGGAAGGGTTGTTCGTCTGCCCCATCACTCTCCAGGCCAGGGAAGGTCCTTGGCTGACACGCCTAGATGTAGCACCGGGGGCAGCCGCGTGGCGGAGGTGAGGGTGTCCCCCCCCCCCCCCCCGAGAACCACCGTGTCTCCTGAGGGCAGGCTGTGTCCTTTCAGAGTGAGGGCCCCAAAGGCAGGCCTGTATCTGCCCTGTCATGCTGGGGGCTTGCGTGAGAATGGAGACCCATTTCACTCAGGGTCACCAAGCCAACCCTGGCAAAGCGGAGTCTGGAATAAGGGTCCTCTCAACTCCCGGGAAGGTGGGATAAAGTGGGGGTGACCTGTCTTCCACTCTTCTCTGCCCTGCCCCTGCCTGCCCCCAGAGGCCACTAGGAGGAGCTGTTTGTTCCCCATTAGATCCCAGTCACAGAGCTGCCTCCCGCCCCAGGATGGGGTTCCTCAAGGGCAGGGGCTTGTTTCTCTTTATTTGGAAGGCAGAGACCTCAGGGATCTGAGAAAGTAGTAGCTAGTCCGGGGTCCCACACAAGTTGAGCCAGCAGCAGCCACCTGTCTCCCATAGACTACCTGTGCTCCCCGGAGGAGAATATATATAAGATCGACTTCATCAGGTTCAAGATTCGGGACATGGATTCAGGCACTGTCCTCTTTGAAATCAAGAAGCCCCCAGCCTCGGGTGAGTGGTGGGTGGGCCACGGACAGAGGGACGTGGGCCGTGACGTGGGCTCCCAGGGACCATTCAGGCCTCAGAGGAGTTAGAGCAGAGCTGGGCTTGGACCCCATTATTCCCAGGAGTCCCTGGGCAGGGGTGCCTCTTGTTTTCCTTCCCATCCGCTTCTGGGATTGGACATTTTGGGACAGTTCTGTCCCTTCAGTCCCTGCCAGCTTGTCCTCTGAAGATCTTCCTGGGAACTACAGTCCTAGAGGCCCCAGGCCTTGCGTCTGCTTGTGGCCCCTGGGAACCTCAGTTGAAAATTTTGACTTGCTGGCCTAGAACCCCCAGATGGAACCATTCAGCCAAAGGTCTGGACCCTCAGTGTGCATCGGAATCTCCTGAGAGTTTTTAAAAGTTCTGAGAGATGGGGGCCCTGGGGTGAAAGCCTGGGTGGGCATGGGCCCCCGTCTGAAGCCCACTGAGCTCCAGCGGGGGTGCATTACAGAGCGGTTGCCCATCAACCGGCGGGACCTGGACCCCAATGCTGGGCGCTTTGTTCGCTACCAGTTCACGCCTGCCTTCCTCCGCCTGAGGCAGGTGGGAGCCACGTGAGTCACTGGGCCAGGGGTCAAGGGTGGAGGAGGTGAGGGCGGGTGGGAGCGAGCCCGTCCTGAGTTCTCCCTGAGCCTCTCTCAGGGGCAGTCTGCTGAACCCGGCTGGTGGACTCCCAGGCCGAGCTCAGCCCTGCCCCTTCTCTCACTCAGGGTGGAGTTCACGGTGGGAGACAAGCCTGTCAACAACTTCCGCATGATTGAGAGGCACTACTTCCGAAACCAGCTGCTCAAAAGCTTTGACTTCCACTTTGGCTTCTGCATCCCCAGCAGCAGGAACACCTGCGAGCACATCTACGACTTCCCGCCTCTGTCTGAGGAGCTGAGTGAGTGGGCGCGGCCCCGCGGGCGGGGGCCTCAGGGAGGCCAAGCTGGGGGGAGGTTGGGTCTGACCCCCTTGCTTCCCACCCCGGGTGCCTTGTGTCTGGCCATCATTTCCACGTCACCTATAGGGCAACTCAGGCTCAAAGGGGCCTTTGAGGTTGTCCAGCTGGTCCCCATCCCACGGTCCTGCAGGCCCCGCGGTGGCCTAGAGCTGGCTCCTGAACTTTGCCCCACGTGTTTGGGCATCTCTTGCAGTTAATGAGATGATCCGCCACCCCTACGAGACACAGTCTGACAGCTTCTACTTCGTGGACGACCGGCTGGTGATGCACAACAAAGCAGACTATTCCTACAGCGGGACACCCTGACCCCGCAGCTGCTCCCTGCCCCAGGAGAGTCCCGGGCCCTCGGCCATGACTGCCCCAGCACTCACCTCTCAGCCCCAAGTCTTCTGCCTGGGGAGTGTCCCAGGAGCCCTGGACCCTGAGTCAGGGTTGGGAGGGTGGGTGTCTGATGTCCTCAGTCTAAGCCCATAAAGCTCATGGGTCCTGGCACCTGGGGTGGGGCAGGGCAGTAGGGGGGCTCTCTGCCTCCGTGTCCAGGAAGGCCTCCTGTGGGAGCAGACGGGACTCTGGACAGCCTAGCTGGGCCTCTTGGCTGTTTCAGAATAGTGTGCACCTATCCAGGCTTTGACTAGGTCAGGGCAGGAGCCTGTTTCTTGTCTCCTGCCCGCCACCGGCAGGCCATTTAGATTTGTTAATTCACAGATGAAGATCCATGATGGGGTCTGGCTGCCAAGCTTCCCAAGGGAGCCTGGGCCCTGGCCCCAGCCCTAGCCTCCTCCGTCAGCGGCCAAGACACTGCCTGGGGTGTGGGTGGGATTGGCCCAGTCTGCCACCTGTGGTAGGGGCTGGACCGACTGTATATAGTTTTCAATAAACTCTTTCTCCTTTTCTGTTCTCTGGCTGTGGGCCAGCGTATGCCCGTGGTGGAGGTGGGGGTGGGGTCAGGTGATAACGTAGTCCCCAGGTCCTCTTGTGCCCTAATCCCTCGGCACCCAGAGTCAGCATTTAGTGTGTGTTACAGCTGGACGGGGTTCTTCCTTTGATAAAGAAGGAGATTCAGTGTGGTGATTGCTGCGGGGAGGGGGTGTAGGGACTAAATAGCAACGATAATTTTAAAAAATCAAGCTCTGGCTGGTGTGGCTCAGTGGATGCAGTGCCAGCCTGTGAACGAAAGGGTCATCAGTTTGATTCTCAGGGCACATGCCTGGGTTGCCAGCCACTACCCAGTTGGAGGCCACACATCGATGTTTCCCTCTCTTTCTCCGTCCTTTCTCCTGTCTCCAAAAATAAATCTTTAAAAAAAGAGGAGGAGATTCAGACCCTGAGAGGGGAAGCTTTAGGTCAAAGTCACAGCCAACCCTGACAGAAGAGAGGCTGGTGGGTCATGGGCCCCCAACCCTAGGGTGGCAGGGAAGATATGGGGAGGTGGTCTTGTTCTTCACCCTACCTTCTCTGACCCCCTGAGGGCACTAGGACCACTAGGTTGTGCCTTCAGTCCTCGTTGGACAGGAGGTGGACAGGGCTGTGGCTGAGGCCTGGAGCCCTCTCGCTCTCAGCTGCCTTGGGGAGCCCCCTGGCCTGGCTACCCTGCATTTAACACAGCCTCCAGCCTCAGAGCAGGTCTTCATGTCCTTTGTGGAGGAAGTTCAGGGACTCGGGTAGGTGGAGAGCTTATCTCGGGATTCATACCCTACTGTTCCAGGCACTAATTTGGATATGTCTGGTGCCAGTCTCTGGGCTGAGGGGTTAAATCTAACCCTTAGGGGCCTAGATGCACTGGCATTTAGCCAGTTCCTGTGGAGCACTTGCTGGGGGCCGGGGCCTGGGCTGCACTCTGGGAATTCTAAAAGGAGTGAGACACAGAAAAAAATACCTGTTCCCAGAATGCAACGGGGTGGGCATATAGGGGAGCAAGAGCCACTTGCTTAGAGGGTTCTGGGGGGAACCTTGGAGGAGGCAGGGTTGGAACAGCGAAAGAACTCAGGACAACTTGGACGGAAAGAGATGGAGAGAGCACGTTTAGGCACAGGGAGCAGCGTAAAGCAAAGGTTTGGAGGCAAGATTTATCAGGTGTGTTCAAGAGAGTGTATTTATAGTGTGAAAGGAAGGCAGATCTGTGGAGCCTTGGTCAGATGTTGGGGCTTCTCCTGAGGAAGATGGGGGGCACGGAGGAGGAGGATGTGGTCAGAATATCTTTGGCTGCTGAGTGAAAGGTGGATTGGAGAGTGAGACTAAAAATAACATTGAGCGAGGACCCCACAGCTGGGCACTTTGTATATGTTAACCGAAGGCTCACAATAATTTCTGAGGAAGGTGCTATTATTATGCTCATTTTGCAGAAGATGCAGGCCCAGAGAGATTAATCTGCCTCGGTAGCGTAGCAGTAAAGTAGCGGCATCAGGATTCAAATCCAGGCAGAACTGACCCGAGTCCGTTCTCCCTCCAGAGGCAGAGGGTGCGCTGAGGAGCAGGGATTGGGTGAGAGATGAAGGCGAACTGAGTCAGGCCAGTATGCATGGAGATGGGGAGGAAGACGTGAAGCTGAGATTTTTAAGAGGTGAAATCTCCAGGTCTGGTGGTAGATGGGGTGACAAGGAGGAGCCGGGGTTGAATCCCTGGTTTTGACCCAAGGATTCAGATGGATAGGGGTGTTCCCAGGCCTGGGAACCCAGGTTGGATCATGGTAGGGGCTGGTGAGAGGTGATGAGTTCAAGTTGGAACCTGCTGTGGTGTGGTCCGCATGTCCTGGTGGAGGTGATTAGGAGACAGGAAATTTGGGTACTGAGACCCGGAAGGGGATGAAGGCTGGAGATCAGTGGTCATAGTTAATTGCTGACGGTATGAAGGTGGCTGAGGTTACGGGGTTCCCAACTGGCACTAATGGGGTTTGGTGAGCAGGGGGCAGAAGTGCCAAATGTCCTCTAATTAACGGGACACTTAGTACCAACAGTCCACACCCACAATTGAGGGTCACTGAAGGAGAGCGTGTGACCCTGGGGAAGGCTGGGGAGCGTTTGAGAGCGGGGTGGAGGTGGAGGAAGTAGCAATGGAGACAGGGGCAGCTGCCAGAACGGTGGGCACAGGAGCCCGTTTTAGAGCAACTGGTTATGTCGAAGCGAAGGGAAGGAAGAATTTCACCAAGAAGCGGGTGGTCAGAAATTGCCACGGAGGTGAGGAAGGGGCATGGGATGGGGCTCGGGACTGGTTGGCAGATGAGGCTATATAAGTATAGCAGTATTTGGGGTTGGAGGTGGCGTTTGTGAGGTCACACGAGAAGTTATGGTGAATAAGAGGGCCTCTTGGGCCTACACTTGTGTCAGGAAGAGGACCCTCCCCTGCCACCTGATAACAGTCCCCACTGTGCCTTCTAAGCCAGATTGGGCTGAGGGCCTGGGTCGGGCCTGCTGTACATCTGCCTTCCGGCAGGGAGGGCCGTCCGTGTTCTGAGGTCCTCTTCCCTGCAGCAGGCACCAGGTTGGCACTCACCCAGAGAGGCCTGTGTCCCTTGGCCCCCTGTCGCCTTTTAAGTCTCTATGTCTCTGGCATTTGTCTGGCTGCCAGTGGGGCCACTTGCTGCATCTGGTCCCTGGCACTTTCCCTCCGAACCTAAGGGATTCCTGGACAGTAAAAGGAGGAAGACACAGCGGGGTGGGGCTAGTCCTGGCTGTGATTAGTTCAAGCTATTGACTTCGAAGGTTGTTCTGGACTGCACTCGGATTCTGTCACTTTGAAGTCAGCCAGATATTTTTACTTAGATTCTTCAGGGGTGTCGTGAAGACCCTACCACAGGGTTGAGCAGGAAAGCCCAGGTACTAGAGGGGCACAGCCCATTCACGCCCACCTGGGCTGGCTGCAGGCTGAACTTGGGACTGCTGAGCCTGCAGTGAAAGACCGTGATGTTTCCCTTCCAGCTGGTGAAGAACCACTGTCTCAAGCCCCCAGGGGCCTTCTTCCCGAGTCGCCTAAGGGCCACCCCCCACTTCCCCACCGTCTGGCAACTAGTGCAAAGGTGCTTGACTCTTTTGTGTGTCCTGGACCCCTTTGTTATTGTCTGCTGGAGCGCACGGACAGTAAGATGTTTATGTGCATAAAACATACTGGAACCCTATAGTTTTAGGAATTAAAAACTGTATATAGACACCCCTATCCATATCCTGAAATCACTATAATGTAATATGAAAGCATCTATGATTTCTCTTCCTAATGGCGAAGTCACAGAGGCTGCTAAAGCTATTGTGGTTTGTTGCTCGTGTTCAAAATCAAGGGGCATTCTAAATTTGAGGTAGAGATGAGTAAAAATGAGGTGTAGTGTCTTTCTGGTTTTTTTTTTTAGATTTTAAAACTATTTATTTATTTATTTATTTATTTATTTATTTGAGAGAGAGAAACACTGATTTGCTATTCTGCCCACTCATGCATTCATTGGTTGATTCTTGTATGTTCCCTGACTGGGGATCAAACCCACACCCTTGGAGTATTGGGGTGATGGTCTAACCAACTGAACTACACAGCCAGGGCTATGAAAGTATAATTTCTTTATCAAAGTTCATCAGACCCATGAATTCCAACCAGTTTTAAAACCATCAGGTTTAGAACCCCTAAACAAAAGGGGAAATTTCCCCTCAGGGACCTCCAGACCCTGTCTGTGTCCATTGAGACTTGCTCAACCTAAAATGGTAGTTGAACACCCGTGTGAGATGGCCAGCAGGGGGCAGCATATGAGCGGGATTGTGGAGCTCTGTTCACAGAGGCACTATTGTTCAGTTTTAAAAGTCTAAGGGCCAGCCTGGCTACAAACAAACAACAGCAACAACAAAAAGGAGACTCAAAGTCCTATCTGCTTGCCACCTGACTCAGCTGTGAGGGGGCCAGTGCACTCGCAGGTGTGATGAATGGGCCCTGGGACTGAGGTCTGACCGAGGACCGCTGGAGCTGTCCTCTTTCCAACGAGGCTGGAGGTGCAATAGGTTTGTCTGAGCCCCCAGGGTCTGAGTCTGAGGCAAGGCAGTAGGACCTAGTAAAGTTCTCCCATGAAACACTTGCCTTGTTCTTGGGGGCTTGGGCATCAAGACTCAGGCCCAGAGTTGGCCAGGACTCTGGTGCAACATCACCTGGGGGCTTCACATCGACCCTTTACCCTCTTCCTATACAGGCAGGGCTGGGGTGGGGCCGGTGGGTCTTCCTCTTGGGTGCACCAGCTGGCCATGCCTTCCTCTACTCCTCGCCCCACCCTATCCCTCTGGGCCTAGACCCAGCCTTAGATCCTCTGGTAGGGAGGGTACTGATGCAGGGCGGGGTTCTGTTATGGGACCTGCAGAACTGCCATCCGGGGCTGGCTGGTGAAGTTGTCTGGCCTCCAGGCCCTGGAAGAACTTTCTGAGTAGAAGCCCCACCAGTAGCTGCTGTGAGACTTGAGGCCCATGAGTTGCTTTTGGCTCCTACTTCTTCCTCATCCCGGTTCAGGCAGAGTGTGGGGCTGCCTCTCAGGCTGCCTTTTGGTGGTAGCCGCCTGCCTGGAGGTGGCACATGGAGATGAGTCTGAAGTGGGATGGAGCAGGCCCCTGATCCTCCAGACGCCATTTTCCAGGCCCAGAGGTGCAGAGCCCCAGGCTGTGCTCCACCCATGTCACCCGTGGGACCCAGAGCCCCAGCCAGGGAAGGAGCAGGAGCAGGAAGGCAGAGCCTGGACACGGAAGCGACCCCATCTTGTGCGAGGAGATGAGGGTTGCTAGGAGGGAGGGGTGAACCGCAGCTGGAAGGAGTGTCGGGGAGGGCACCCCTCTCTTCCTCTGGGCAGGGCAGCTGCTGCTTTTCCCATCCCTGTGCAAGTTCTCCTGGGAAGAGAGTCTGCCTGCCTGCCCCTCATTCTCTGGCTAGTCAGGAAGTCC